CATGTTCTGCTATCGCTGCGCCCTAATGTTGTGGTTGTTAATTTACGTAAGTTTCTGCTTTTGCTGATTTTGCGAAGAGCTTTCTGCTGTTAAATCGTTTTTTTCTTAGTCAACAGCGAGGAACAGGTTTCTCAAACACATTCGCGCTGGAACTAAACTCACAACTACAATACAATTAAATATATGCTAGTTCGGTGAAAGTAACGCTTGATATATTAAACGAAGGAAACTGGGCGTATATTCACGTCAGAACTTCAACGTTTAGATGAAAAATAGATTAAAAATCAATGGTTTGACGAATATCCGCCGGCGGTTTGAAAGCTCTAGATTATTACGCTGCATTTATGTTTATACCATACACGTATTCGGTGGTTTTAACTAACTCTATGATTATACTAAAATACTTTCTGTTATATATATATAATATTATATATATTATAATATATATATATATATATATATATATATATATATGCTATATATTCGTTTGGTTATATATTCCTAGTGTAGTTCTATCCTAATAATTGCAAGTCTCCGACAAGTTCCATAACCTCCAGCAACAATTATATTTTCCTTATCACCACTTGGTTTATTGTTATTTTCCTTGTGTTTTCTTCCACCTTGGCCTTCGTCGTGATAAGAACGACCTTCATTATTAAAAGCCTCGACTAAAGATCTTTTCAATTCCCTAACTTTGCTGTTAACCGCTTCGAATTTTTTCTTCATATCTCCTTTGATGTCTTTGGTATTTTTGTCTAATTTTCTTTCCAGATCTGCCAAAGTTTTCGCCATTTCTCTGCAGGAGTGACACTTCAACTTTCGGAATTCACAGACTTCACTTTCATGGTGAATAAGATCACGCTTGTTGACAATTAAACCACAGCCTTGGTTTGTACAAACGGCTGGTGTATATCCACATGTATTTTCATGGCGGTCAAGATGTTGTACTTGTACAACTTCGGGGCAGCCTCTGTCGATGTAAACGCAACGAATTTTTGATTCATTCAAAAAATCTTTAACCATTCGCGGTGGTTCGATCAACGTCTCCACGGTCAGTTGATCAGCACACGTTGGACATGTTGAAGAGTTTTCCAGATGTTTCGTAATACAACACGGCAAAAAGAATGCTGGTTTCTCGAACACATAACCGGCACTTTCAAGACGTTGAAGCAAATCTGGCAATGAAAATTTTCATTGATTTTTTCCACAAACCTTTCTTCATGGTAGCCTTGTATATATGAAGCAATATTTCACGTCGTTCTTGTGTCGTAATAATAAAGCAAGTTCTGTATTTTTTTGTCGCTCTGTACAGTACTCGCTGTATAGACTGTATATATATTACAATGTAAGTCTGTTTATTGCTTGAAATATTTTGATTTGTTTACAAAAGGCAGACAAATATCGCTTGCATAGAAAGGGTACGTTTAAAGCGTCTATTTTCATGTCTTGTGACCAAAAGGTCATTGACCTCTTTGTTCAAATGTTGACTTGCAATTGGTTGTGTTTATGTTGGTTGGAATCTTTTATTTCATAATGTGGAAATGAGTTGTAACAAAACGATATTTATACAATGAAAAATGAATCATGATAATGAAATATTTAGACCAAATATAATATAATCGATGTGGTCAAGGTCTGTATTAGAATTCCATTCGAAACCTTCCAAAAATTGTGTGTCTAAAGCAACAGACAATAATCACTTGGGTGAAATATATTTCAAGCATCTTTTACAAGGTATTTATGGTATTTATTTATAAATGGTGCCATGAATCATGATCAAATTTAGAGTGGAATGACAGCAAAAAATTGATTAGCGACTAACGATTGGAATAAACATCCATAATAATTGAACTGCAGTAAAAAACAAGGTCAAGTGAATGCGGTCACAAACAAAGGAATCTTTTTTAAGGGGAATTTAAGAGCAATATGGGTTTACTTCGACCACAATTTCTAATAAAATCTGGTGTCCCCGAAATTTTTGCGTTGATTATGCAAGACGAGTTAGTCTTAGAGTTATCCAGAAAACGTGGATTGGTTATTTTGAGGTAAAAGCACAATATCGCAAATTTTTGCTCAAAAGCTCGCTTCCCGCCTTTTTACCAGCAAATTGCCAATTAGTTTTCAAATGAGATTGAAAATGAAATGACATTCACTCGCAGGACTTGAGACACTTTTGGATTGAAATTATGGTTTCCAGCCAAAGTACTGAATTTCAGGGGCTAGCGAGCGGGGCGGTGGGGCTAGGATGGGAGCTAGTGAGCGGGGCGGTGGGGCTAGGATTGGGGCTAGCGAGCGGGGCAGTGGGGGCTAGGATGGGGGCTAGCGAGGGGGGCAGTGGGGGCTAGGATGGGGGCTAGCGAGCGGGGCGGTGGGGCTAGGATGGGGGCTAGCGAGCGGGGCAGTGGGGCAAGGGTGCCACACCCCTAAAGGTTTTGGCAAGGTACTTAGTCAAACGCGACGTCGGACGGTAATATCACACAAGTGTCGGCAAAAAGTATAATTTTGCTCAACTTGCTTGTGCGAATTTGTGTGATAACTTGTGACAAGTCGTCTCCTTTGTCTGTTTATGAATCGTTTACGTTTAAAGTGAAAAACAGCTATTCTCAAATTTTGCATGTAATGTCCAAGCAATAATTATGTTCACTTCTAAAACGCATAGTTAACACATGAGGCATTTCAGCTACAAATTCCTATTGCATTGTATTTTGTAAAAACAGTCCGTTCACATTGTTTATATAATTATGCTTTCTTTAGATGTACTTAAAGTGCCATACATGTGTTGTAAAACATGGTAGTTGCACCCTCCCAGCTTTTAAGATAGTATGCTATCCTAGTTAAGATAATCAGCCCCCCTCAGTTAAGATAGGCATACCCAATAGTCAAGATAGTTATGCCCCCAGTTGTTAAGATATTCGTGCCCCCCCAGTTAAGATAATAAAATAAAATAATCATTTTAAATATTCATGCCCCCCGTTTAAGATAGTCATGCCCCCCAGTTAAGATAGCCATGCTCCCAGTAAGATAGCCATGCTCCCAGTAAGATAGTCACACCCCATGTGCATTTAAGATATTCATACCCCCCAGTTAAGATAGTCATGCCCCCCAGTTAAGATAGTCATGCCCTCCAGTTAAGATAGTCATGCCCCCCAGTTAAGATAGCCATGCTCCCAGTAAGATATAGTTACACCCCACATTTAAAATACTCATACCCCCCAGTTAAGATAGTCATGCCCCCCCAGTTAAGACAATCACACCCCCCAATTAAGTTAGTCATGCCCCCCAATTAAGATAGTCATGCCCCACATTTAAGATTATAGTCACACCCTTCATTTAAGAGAGTCATGTCACCCAGGATTTCTATTTTGCCAAACCTTCTGAACACTGGTTGACTAAAAAATGAGGGTCACACCACCACGATGGTCAAGTTAACAATATGAAATGTATATGTTTATTAAACAAGCATTATAAACAGAAAAGAAAATTGAAATATTAAGAAAAAATTATGTACTTGTGTTTTTATATACAAAATTCAAATTTTGACTATTCATTTCTGCATGGTCATGCAACTTGCTGCAATTACAGACAACTTAAAAACTTTAGAAACAAGGGTGAAAATCTGCATGGGGCACTGTACGTGAGGCAGCTAGGCAACCCCTAACTACCATTTGGATATTTATATAATGTATTATTATATCTATGGTAAAATAGATCTGGTAACTGTGAGGTTTTAGTCACCCACTATCACACACAATATATAACAGCCGCAGGAGATTATAGAATTGTGATTCAACCTTATAATCTACATTATATTTGGAGCACTTTTCCCTCGTAACCCTTTCTCCCACACCTAATTGCGTGTTTGGTAATGTTGTGTCTATCCGAAATGGAGCGTTAAAGCAAGTTTATTCCTGCCAATAGGCAGCATAAAGTTAAGTTAACAAAACAAGTTTTCCGATAAGAAATTGTGGACTTGTGCAAAATCTTCCCATCATTGAAAGACTTTAATTGTGTTTGGTGTTTTATTATCCATGGTATTAATTATACAATGAGCAATTACAGTGTTTGATGTTCCTGCAAGATTATGATGAGTTTTATGGCGTAACTGCGCCCCGCCAAGTGATATTAACATGAAGGCTTTAATATACAGAATTATTTCAGTTGCGTGCATGCATGTTAACTTCAGATCTTTTCCCCTATGATGAGCAACCAAACTCTGTTTCAAGATATTGGTGAAATCAGTTGACTGTCACTCAGGATATGGTACTTAGCATTAATATATTATGAGTCAGAGTGGAAAGTCGACTTCAGGAGTTTGAATTCAGCTCGGCAATCGGCAATTACTGACTTGAATACTGTCGTCATGTTAGGACGACAGAAAAGCCTGCAACCAGTAAACTTTAAACAGATCACCAATCTTATTAGAGTTTACAGAACCTATAGTTGCATGTGGTAACAGAGCTAATTAGTTGGTAACTTACCCTTACATATATATGAAATATAGTCATTTTTACCATTATCAAACAAATTCTTTCACAAGCTTGCATTTGTTTTATCCATCCAACGACAACAGATTCAATCTAGTTCAATTATTTTCACCCACAACACCCAACAGACAGATGCCGTTGCCGTTTAATTGCTCTTCAGTCTTCATCCGATATTAAAAACACCTCCAAATTCCACAATTTCTTGGCTTCGTTCAACTTTAATGGACAAATTTAGTGTTTTTCTGTCCTTGTTTAACGGAGAAGGCACTCAATTTTATATGATTTAAGTTCTGTTTTATAAAAAGAGCCTTCTTATCCAGCTTTTTATGACATTAAATTGATTTCACGGCGATTACAAGCACTTTGCCTCAATTTTTGCGAGGCGAAGAATGTCCAGCGGTCGCGTTGTAAACATGGAGATCTTGAGCTCTGATTGGCTGCGCGTATTTCATTCGCCAATCGCGTGCCAGAGATTATTCAAACGCGCCCGCGCTTTCTTTTGCAGTTTGTCTCAAATTTGAATCTGTTACAAGAGGTGGAAAATGTCTTCGGAAAAAAAGGTTACTTTTGCAGAACAAAACGATGAGAAATCCAGCCGTTTTAAAGGAAAGCATTCGCTAGATAGCGATGAAGAAAGCAACGGACAAGAGGAAGGTACGTTGCCGGAATTTAACTTCCAAATACGTTGTTTTAATTTCAAAATATGTATCCATTTGATATATACAATTTGTTTCTAGTAAAATCACAGGTAGCCCGCTATTGGATTTGCTTTTAGTTAAATATTAAATAAATTCTATGCAAAACGACATGAAGTGTCACCTTCCTTCATTCACTTCTGACATATTATCGCAGGCGCCAATTCGTGCGGTGCAGTGTAACCTTTATGTATATATTAATATAAGGTTGGCAACTCTTTGTCGTATTTTCACATTTACGAATTACATACACGAACTTACACATAAAAATACTCGTACTTAAACACAAAAATATACACAAAAAACTAAATCTATGTCGGAACTGACTCTCCTAAAACATTTCCGAAACATTTGTTTGTCTTTAAAGCCATTGCAAATATGTGAAATTTACGAAAATACAAACACTTTTTGGTTGAATTTTTTGAAAAGCCGTCGGGATCCCATCACCCTGCCCTACGTCACAGCAAACACGCAATATGATTGGCTGGTTGAGTCCGTTAACGTAAACAAATTTCAAAATTCAAAACTAAGCCAATCATATTGCGTGTTTGCTGTGACGTAGGGCAGGGTGATGGGATCCCGACGGCTTTTCAAAAAATTCAACCAAAAAGTGTTTGTATTTTCGTAAATTTCACATATTTGCAATGGCTTTAAAGACAAACAAATGTTTCGGAAATGTTTTAGGAGAGTCAGTTCCGACATAGATTTAGTTTTTTGTGTATATTTTTGTGTTTAAGTACGAGTATTTTTATGTGTAGTTTGTGTATGTAATTCGTAAATGTGAAAATACGACAAAGAGTTGCCAACCTTATATTAATATATACATAAAGGTTACACTGCACCGCACGAATTGGCGCCTGCGATAATATGTCAGAAGTGAATGAAGGAAGGTGACACTTCATGTCGTTTTGCATAGAATTTATTTAATATTTAACTAAAAGCAAATCCAATAGCGGGCTACCTGTGGTAAAATACGACTTGATATACGATTTTCACATATTGGCGGTCGATTTGAAATTCATTGAGACTTATTCAAACTGATTTTAAATCAATTCAAATGTTGGTTTCGTATGAATTAGCAGCAAATGTTTATGACCTGATAAATTTGAGGTTGGCTTGAGAGATTTTCTTGAGAGCTAACTAGGAAATGATAAAATATGTGTTCAACTCTTGTTTTATAGAAGATGGAAATCTTCTTCAAGAGGATGATATCGAGGGGCAAGAAGATGCGACAATAGACCACGAGGGGGAAGTCAAGATCACACCATTTAATCTTCGAGAAGAAATGGAAGAAGGTCATTTCGATGCGGCAGGTAACTACTTTGTCAAGAAAGACAAGGAGATCCGTGATGAATGGTTGGATGCTGTCGACTGGCAAAAAATAGACGAAAGAGCAGCGAAAATTGAAAAGGAAAAAAATGACGAACAGTTTGAAGACGCACCAGAGGATGTTGACAAGGTTACCATAATTAAGTCGATTCTTGAAATCCTCAAACCAGGGGAAACAGTTTTAAAAGCGTTGAAACGGCTTGGAGGAAAAACCCAGACACAGAGTTCTGCATCGATGAGGTGGAAGGCAAAACGAAAAAAGACAGACGAAGGCGCGGAAATCGACAAGAGTTCTGAAATGGATAAAAGTGAAAACAAAGAACTACTTTTGAAACTTACTGGTCTCGCTGATGAACTTTTGCAAGCTGGTATGTTCAGCGTCTATCAGGATACCTATGAGAAAATGGCATATAAAGTCAAGGAAATGCAAAAGGAGAAAGCGGAAGCACTCGAGGACGACGCCCTCGAGGCGGCATTCCGACAGGGAGGAGGTGGGGAGTCGAGTTCTCCACCTGCGGAAACGCCAAAGGAACCGAGCATTGAGGATGATACAACTTGGGTTTATAAGTGGGAGAACAAGGAAGATGCAGAGACTTTCGGACCTTTTGGCAGCTCGCAGATGTTGGATTGGGTTAACCAGGGGCATTTCGGTGATGGGGTCTGGGTACGTAAGTCAAATCACTCTGGAGACTTTCACAGCTCGAAGCGTATTGACTTTGAACTTTATACATAATGAAACAATTTGAAGCAATTTGATTAATGTATTAACATAGATGGTTTAAAAATATATCATTTTATGTGAAACTTCCTGTGTGTTTTTTTCCAGGGCAAATGACTTGCCAGTTAATGAGTTAACGAAACTGTCTGTCAGTGTCTCTTGTTAACCCATCAGCTTGCAATGCACCCAGATGTGACCAACTTTAGTATTTTAATCTGTCTAAAGTCAGATGATTTTACTCATCAATGGAAGAGTATTGTCAGTTAATAAGTTAACAAAACTATCTGTCAGTGTCTCTTGTTAACCCATTAGCTTGTAATGCACCCAGATGTGACCTACTTTAGTATTTTACTCTGTCTAATGTCAGATGATTTTACTCATCAGTGGAAGAGTACTGTCAGTTAATGAGTTAACTAAACTATCTGTCAGTGTCTCTTGTTAACCCATTAGCTTGTAATGCACCCAGATGTGACCTACTTTAGTATTTTACTCTGTCTAATGTCAGATGATTTTACTCATCAGTGGAAGAGTACTACAAGCATACTATAACTATATATATTACTACAGATCTTACTCAGTATAGTATATACTATTATTAAAGGTTAGTTGTTACCAAACTATCTTCAACCTAGATTATGTTAGAAACCTACAGGCCATTTATCACAAAATTTTTTGCTACAATCTCAGAAACCTGCCTAAAGTTCAGCGAAAATGAAAAAGAATGTGTATCTAAATTGCAACATATTTTGCTCACGCCATTGTCGCCTTGGCAATAGAATGTTTTGTTCACGTGATATAAATACTTCAAATCGAGAGTACAACTTCTAATAATAAACAATCGACTCGGAGTTTGAAAGAACGTGATTTCTGACCGATTTCCTCAGCAAAATATGGACGTTTTTGATCGGAAAACAAACGAAGTGGACATAACAGTCACAGCGCCTTCCGACAACGAAATGGCTGGGTATAGTTCCGACTCAGACGATGATAATTCAGGCGATTTCGAACACGAACCCGAGCATAAACCCGACACTTCAAGACCAGAGGATGCCAATTCGTCGACTTTAGAGAATTCAAAAGAAGACGATGCTACTGATGGGAAAGAAAGCGAACTTTGCGAACGTTTCGATAGCGGGGTTAGTTTAAACGAAGATAAATCGGCCGTTGAAACGCCGGAAAGTGGCGGACAAAACTATGAAATTGTTGGCGACCGTGTTTTGGTGGAAAAAGATGGGAAATTCGAGCTTGTAGACGCGAACGAAATCAAAGCGGAGTACTTTGAAATGCTCGGGATTAAGCACGAAGCCAGCAGCAGCAGTTCTACCGAGGTCGCAGCCGAGAAATCCGATGATTCTGAACGGCCTGTGGTTCGAGAGAGGCCAAAGACTACACCAGCTTTTGGATCGAGGGGGAAGGATGGTCAGGGCGAGCCCCATGTTCGCAAGAAAAGGGTCCAAAGCTCCTGGGGTTACAGGAATAGTGAGTATGCTAAGATTAAGTCGCCCTACGGATTGAGCGAGAAACAGCTTGAGATGAAGAGAAAGCGAGAGGAGGCGATTGCTCGGAGAAAAAAGGAGGAAGCAGAAAGGCAAAAAGAAGAAGAGAATCGCAAAAGGGAAGACGCTGAAAGAGCTTTTCAGGTAAGTTGGGATTGGTTCCATTATTATTCAGAAGCATAGTGCAATCTTGGTTGATAAATCAGTATTATAAGTAATGCTAGCATGCAGTTCAACTCTCAGTACTCTTCCGCTGATGAGTAAAATCATCTGGCATTCGACAGAGTAAAATACTAAAGTAGGTCACATCTGGGTGCATTGCAAGCTAATGGGTTAACAAGAGACACTGACAGATAGTTTTGTTAACTTATTAACTGACAGTACTCTTCCACTGATGAGTAAAACCATCTGACATTAGACAGAGTAAAATACTAAAGTAGGTCACATCTGGGTGCATTGCAAGCTAAAGGGTTAACAAGAGACACTGACAGATAGTTTTGTTAACTTATTAACTGACAGTACTCTTCCACTAATGAGTATAAAATCATGTACTGTCAGTTAATGAGTTAACAAAACTATCTGTCAGTGTCTCTTGTTAACCCATTAGCTTGCAATGCACTAAAATATCCCTATACTAAAATAATCATTTGAATTTAATAATGAACAAAAGAGCATATTTGCAGCTGCATGTTACATATAGTACCTGCACACGTCAGTTTAAGTAGAAAATATAACATTATCACATTATAACAAATGTCACATTATCATAATAAATTACACCATACCTCATTTTTTGCTGGATAAAAGTTTGGTGACCATTTTTCTCACTTGAGTCAGCTCTCATACATGTGTAGAATACGAACTGGTATATCTCATAAATCCCTGACCTTGAATCAAAATTGAACAGCCATACAGTAATATTATCATTATTTTTCGTGATTGGGTAGGCATGGCTAAACTCAAAGAGGGAAGAAGAGAAGGAACACAGGAGAATGGCGGCAAAGGAGAGCAACAAAGAAGACGAAAGCCGAGCAAAGGATTCGCAGAAAGCTTTCAAAGCTTGGAAGTCTGCGAAAAGGAAACAGGAGAATGCAGAGAGGGAGGCAGCGACGAGACGAATGCAAGAAACAGCATCAATGTATGTTGTACATGACAGGGGAACTTGTGAAGATGCTTTCAAAAGGTAAATAACAATCTGTCAGTGTCTCTTGTTAACCCATTAGCTTGCAATGCATGCAGATGTGGCCTTTAGTATTTTACTCTTTCTAATGCCAGATGATTTTACTCGTCAGTGGAAGAGTACTGTCAGTTAATAAGTTAACAAAACTATCTGTCAGTGTCTCTTGTTGACCCATTAGCTTGCAATGCACCCAGATGTGTCCCACTTTAGTATTTTACTCTGTCTAATGTCAGATAATTTTACTCATCAGTGGAAGAGTACTGTCAGTTAATAAGTTAACAAAACTATCTGTCAGTGTCTCTTGTTAACCCATTAGCTTGCAATGCACCCGGATGTGGCCTACTCTAATATTTTTTCATGCTTCATTATCAGGTGGTTGAAAAAGAAGAAAAATGAAAAGAAAGCAAAGGAAGAAGAGAAAATTAAACGCCTTAGACCAAAGTCGAGGCGTAAACCGAAAGAGCCATTGCCAGTCAACTCAGACAAAATAAGGTAGAAAAACAACTTTGAAAACATATCATGTGCTTTACAAAGGTTTATAACCAAAAGAATATAGTTTTTAGTTGTTTCTTCAAGGCAAGCAAACCATTGGATTAATGTTTTCTAAACATGTTTCTCTCTTTACATATAGTAGTTCATTGCCCAATATATTATTAAAACCACTAAAAATACTATCTTTTAACTTTTCTAGGTTCACAGATAATTATGGTTATAGAAATACTGTAGTTTACTAGACATAGAGTATTTAATAGCTTGAGGGACAAGAGTTAAATATTATATAACAAATGGAGTGTATTTTAGCTAATATTTATAAATATATTATCTATACGCAGATTAAAGGGGAGAAATACAACTGTCTATGTTTATATATATTGTGAGAAATTAAAAGGGAAAAGTACGATTGTCTATGTTTAAAATTTTCTTGAATTTGAATTGTACATAGGTCAATTTGACCACTTTATAAATTAGGATAGTATCAATCAGTTCGAACAAGTATATATATAAACCTGTCAAACGAGAAAGTACAAAACAAGTTTGTCCCACCTGGAATTTTACAGCCTATTTGAACATTGATTGACCAGGCATTAACCAGTTTAACAGGGTTAAGCATGTTCCTTTGAGCAGGAAATATCCTGTTAAACCAGAATAGCTTGCTGAACTGCTGGTCTTTCGATTCGAAAACATGTCAAACCAGTTATATACACGAGTATAATTGTACTAAACAAGATTAACCGGTCTAACCAGAAATACACGTCAGTTATACGACGGAATTCAGGTTAAATATTGGTCCCTGCCAATTGCTGGATTGTTTGGTACTGATATAAAATGAAGTATAAATTTAGTACGTTTTTGACTCTGTGCTTGTTTCGTGAGCTGTTTTCCCGTGGACGGTTCGGTATTTGGCGGCGGACGTAACATTATAGTGCTAAATATTGTGGCTAAAAATAAATAATTTAAATATAGTTGGTCAGCCTCGTTCCCAGGCGCTTTAAATAAAATAGATATAGGAACACTACAGGCTTTTACATAGATCAGCGGCTAAGCTGAGCCTGCGCGCAAGGAGTTTTGGGGAGGACGCCACGAAAAAATGGAGCTTCCTTCCCCACGTCCTCCCCAAGATTCCTTGCGCGCTCGCTTAGCCTAGACACTGATCTTTGTAAAAGCCTGCAGTGTTCCTATATATTTTTCATTAAAAGCGCCTGGGAACGAGGCTGATAGTTTGTATTATTACCGTGAACTACAGCGCGTGGAAGGGTACTATTACCCGCCCGGGTAATGCTGGTTGTCATATATTCAAAGTCTATTCTTGATCCTGATTGGTCGAATCTCGCAGGTAAATTTTAATAATTCTAATTATTTCGGCTGCTGACGTCATTAACGGTAATATTCCATAATAAAGTCTCAACACACGAATTGCTCCCTTAAGATTAGGTTAGGATTAAGGCTCGATTAAGGTAGGATTAATACTAGTTAGGTAAAGCTTAGGGGCAGGTTTAGGATTAAAGTTGAGATTACATTCCTGAATTATGCACATGGATTTATCGATGTAAAAATTCACCCTAGTGAAAATTTGCCTTAATGCATGATATATTTCGAGGGGCAGGGGGACCCGGATCATAATGAGAGTTTTTCACTCCGGTTTCTGAATTTCAATCGTCAACGGTTAACTTACCTAATATTTTAGGTTCCAGGCCGTTATAAATGGAATTCGATAAAAGCTCTTTCATAAATTCAATAAGATATCTAAAAACATTTTGATGGCTCAGTGGTAAGGTCATCACCATCTAAAAAAATAAATTTTATTGGTCTAAAATGAGTAAAATCATCTAACATTAGACAGAGTAAAATACTAAAGTAGGTCACATCTGGGTGCATTGCAAGCTAATGGGTTAACAAGAGACACTGACAGATAGTTTTGTTAACTTATCAACTGACAGTACTCTTCCATTGATGAGTAAAATCATCTTGCATTAGACAGAGTAAAATACTAAAGTAGGTCACATCTGGGTGCATTGCAAGCTAATGGGTTAACACGAGACACTGACAGATAGTTTTGTTAACTTATTAACTGACAGTACTCTTCCACTGATGAGTAAAATCATCTGACATTAGACAGAGTAAAATACTAAAGTAGGCCACATCTGGATGCATTGCAAACTAATAGTAAGAAACACTCTTTCGACTACGAGTAAGATATAGTTTATATACAGTTACCTGTTTACATAACGTGTAATTGCTGCTACAATCTAAACATTTCTGGTATATTTTAAATGGAATAACAGGTTCTTCAAGACTTTCTAAAAACAGTAACAACGCTTCGGCGACGGAATGGATATTGCCAGCTGGGTCGCAAAGTTAAGAATATATCATACGTCAACTGAACAGCGTTAATAAATTTATACAGGATAGCTCTATCAGTTCTAAACTGTTCTTCCAGGAGTTCCAGTAAGGATCATCTCTTATTGATCCAGTGTTACTACAGGAGGAAACCTAAACTAAACTAATTTTATTTATACTGGATAGCTCTATCAGTTCTAAACTGTTCTTCCTAGAGGTCCAGTAAGGATCATCTCTTATTGATCTAGCGTTCCTACAGAAGGAAACCTAAACTAAACTAACTTTATTTATACTGGATAGCTCTATCAGTTCTAAACTGTTCTTCCTAGAGGTCCAGTAAGGATCATCTCTTACTGATCCAGTGTTACTACAGGAGGAAACCTAAACTAAACTAACTTTATTTATACTGGATAGCTCTATCAGTTCTAAACTGTTCTTCCTAGAGGTCCAGTAAGGATAATCTCTTATTGATCTAGTGTTACTACAGGAGGAAACCTAAACTAAACTAACTTTATCTATACTGGATAGCTTTATCAGTTTTAAACTGTTCTTCCTAGAGGTCCAGTAAGGATCATCTCTTATTGATCCAGTGTTACAACAGGAGGAAACCTTTATTGATACTATTCTTTCCAGCAGTCCAGTAAGGATCATCCAGCAATACCCTGTATTTTTTTTACTCAATAAAAGATACGTAAATTGCCATCGGCTTTTGTGTCCAAGTGATCACGGATCTTTTCAAATTCATCTTTTAAAGCAGACTGCCTGAAGATTCCTTGCTAAAATAAAAAAAAATCAATTCAATTCATCCAGCTCGATAATGACATTCCTACATCTGTGTTACATAATGGAGCTATACCTCTCTTAAACCACGTTTTTGTAAATGATCAACAAGAAGCCAAAGTTCTTTCGGTAAGTCCAAGGCCTTTGAGTTGCGTGGTTTCGCGTCCAGTTCCGAGCAATCCTGAAATGAATAAACTATATATTAACGGTTACGGTGGAAATCAAGTTAGTTTAGGTTTCCTCCTATCCAGTAAAAATAAAGTTAGTTTAGTTTAGGTTTCCTCCTGTAGTAACACTGGATCAATAAGAGATGATCCTTACTGGAACTTTAGGAAGAACAGTTTAGAACTGATAGAGCTATCCAGTATAAATAAAGTTAGTTTTGTTTACGTTTCCTCCTGTAGTAACACTGGATCAATAAGAGATGATCCTTACTGGACCTCTAGGAAGAACAGTTTAGAACTGATAGAGTTATCCAGTATAAATAAAGTTAGTTTAGATTTGGTTTCCTCCTGTAGTAACACTGGATCAATAAGAGAAGATCCTTACTGGACCTCTAGGAAGAACAGTTTAGAACTGATAGAGAGCTATCCAGCATAAAGAAAGTTCAGTTAATCTCATTACCACATCAATAAGCTTCGCCACAGGTGGGTCTTGAATGGGTCGATAAAGAAAAACTAAACTCTCGATGGAGGATCCAAATACGCTGGGTATGTAGGTAGCGCTTATGGGTATCTTGTGACAAGTTAAGATGGTAACATTCCCGGTGTTGACCAGGGGCGAAACGGATTTCTATTGTAAACTTTTGAACATACAAAAAAATATGTCGGGCAGAACTGAATATATGAATAAACACCAAACACACTCAATTGTCAACAGTTTGACATACAAAATACGGGCAAAAATCGTTCGTCGTAGCAACCAGATGTGTTTTCGAACAGATTTGTAGCGAATTTGTGAACTAGTTACAATAATTTTTTTACTGTATGAAATTGCTACATGATTGTGACCAAGTTGTTATCGTGCTAGGAACAAGCAGTAATCAATAAGAACACGTCTTAATGGAAAGTTCTTGAAACAGTCTTACTAATATTAAGGGCTTTAGCAGTAACTACGAGTACAACTGCGAGTACAAGATTCGTCATTTTCGCGCCAAACTCGGTGCTTTTGCTTACGTCATCTGACGTCATCTGATGGCGTAAGCAAACAACGCGCGAGGATGACGAATCTCGTATACTCACGGTCACTGCTAAAGCTCCCTCATTGCTGTACACAAAAATTATCGATAGAGGATACAAAAATATCTTTCCCGCCTTGTAAATGCAACACGAGTATATCTTCCATTTTTTCCTTTTTCGCTGTCAATGGACCAGCGGAACTCGGACTCACAAATGCTGTCACTTTAACTGTCTTGGTGCCATCTATAATAGAACAAAAATTATTAATTAGTAACGATGATTATAAATAAAATAAGCTTAGGTTAGATTTCTTCCTGTAGTAACAATGGATCAATAAGAGATGATCTTTGCTGGACCTCTAGGAAGAACAGTTTAGAACTGATAGAGCTATCCAGTATAAATAAAGTTAGTTTAGTTTAGGTTTTCTCCTGTAGTAACACTGGATCAATAAAAGATGATCCTTACTGGACCTCTAGGAAGAACAGTTTAGAACTGATAGTGCTATCCAGTATAAATAAAGTTAGCTTAGTTTAGGTTTCGTCCGTTAGTAACACAGGATCAATAAGAGATGATCCTCACTGGACCTCTAGGAAGAACAGTTTAGAACTAAAAGAGCTATCCAGTATAAATAAAGTTGGTTTAGTTTATATATAGGTCTCCTTCGGTGGAAAAGCGACTTTATAAATTAAATGAGAAATATTTAACTGAAACTTACTTTGTTTGACTAGTCCAGTGTAAGGGTCTATCCTAAGCCAAGGTTTACAAAAATGTCCTTCTTGCAGTTTAGGTATAAATGTGTACTGCACAGCAAGCTATAAAAGACATGTAAATAATGATCCATGTAGATTTTCAAAGCTTAGGCAATCCAAAACTTGTTATCTGAACTTTTCCTGATTGTGGCAATTTCAACAAGCAGGAATTTCGCTTTAGACCAATCAGCGAATTTGTTTACATTTTTAGTAACCCAATCAGAATGCATAAATACTGGTAAAAGGTGCATTATTTACCGTTTAACATGAAGTATTCAAAATTTACGCATTCTGATTGGCTTAGCATAAAAAATGTAAACAAATGGGCCGACAATTTGTTAACAAGCGGTTACACAAATTTTTGGACAACTTCGCTCTTCTATGCAAAAGGAGTTAGTAAACTATACTTTACCTGGCCTACATTCCGGATTTCAAACGTTTGGGTTTTCTCCTCCAAAAATTGAATATTTCCGAAATGCATCTATTAAAATAAATGATATAGTTGACTTCGTAAATGGACAAGCCCATTTCTTCATACACTACAGTTTATAGGGTTCTATACAGACATATATTCTCAACTAAAAGCGAACATTGCATGTGCTTAGCTCCGTAAAAAATACATTTTTGGAATGAGCGTGTTTAAATAAAAGAATTGTAAAGTTTCCTTGCGAAATATTGAGAAATGAGGAAAAATATTCATATATTCGTTAGGGCGATACGGATTTCAAAAGAAATCTGTCGGTTCAAGTGCAAAACTACACAAAATGGGACATTTTCGTTTGTTTCTGAGTTCTTGGTATCTTGCAATGCGAAGTGCTCGGTTTTGGCGGGAAAATTTGAATGTCTGATTTCCTACAATTCTTTATATATTTTGTTTGAAATAACTGTTTTGTAAAACGATAAAGAACGTTTGAATTGTATTAGAGTGTTGAAAATACCGAAAGACGAAGTTTTGGGACAATTTAACGCTAAAACTTCCGAAACTTTATCATTTTATTATGGATTACAAACCTCTTTGATGCTGAGGTCGACTTGTGGTAGGAAGTCGTTCTCTCGTTTATCGAGTTCACGGACAACCTCTTCCAATACGACTTTCTCGCGTTTTTTGTCCACGACTTTGACCTGAAAAGAGAGAAAAGCATTCATCGGTCACCAGCCGCGGACATTAACACAACTTATCACAAGTTTCTTCAAGGTTATCGACTCAAAACACTTCGTCATAATAAACAAGATGGCGGAATTTTGAACTAAATATAATTTTTGCGAATTGTATATGAAATAGAGCTTTTAATACCAGTCTTTTAGATTTTCTGAAAATATGGTCTTCTCCGATTTAAAAATACCAATCTTGTGGAAAAATTCAAATCAGAAGCTTTGTAACTTTGCGGTTAAAGTTTGTTTTTGAGACTCGGTACTTACTGAGGAAATTCCGAACATTCTTTCATAACATTGCTTACATAACATTCTTGCATATCGCATAAACACGGCCTTTGCTTTAGACTATTTCTTTATAATGGTAACAAAAAGAAAATTTTTAGAAATAGCATACTAAAATTAAGTAAAATTGCCAAGCGTGGATGCGAAATTTCGTAAAATATAGCTATGCAAAATCTTGTATGCTATATTGTATTTCGGCCGGAGGTGTTTATTAAAGTAATTTTTAGTTTCGTTTAGTTCGAATGGCTGTATTTTCTGCGTTTCACAAAATTTCGGGAACTAAACTTCGTATATTTGCTCTGCATACTTTAATTTACTCTCCTTATAGTTGTGGCAGGCATTTTTCTCGTTCTTCGATCAAAAGATAGTCTAAAACGGAAGTCTTCCATTATGCGGATGTATAGTCTCTATAGCTAATAATTACATCGCGCATTTTACGTTTAGAACGAATCGAAATTTGATTATTATTGATCTTGCCTGCAGGAAACCTAACGAGGAATCCCTTGCATGTTTAGCGAGGCAAATATAGCGCGTTCAGGCCTAAACTAGCGAACATGACTAAACTCATACATGCAACCTTGTTGCCATGTTTACAAGTGCAATGCTATGCATTTTAAATGCACCAAGCACGCGTTGGCCAGGCAAAATTTCCGCTTGTGCGCAGTCTCTGGTTTTGCGCAAACACGTACCGCTTTCAAGAAGAGAAATCGACGCATATCTTTCTCGTAAATATATACAGAACGGTGAAAGAATTGCAAGTTCGTCAGTAATCCGATCAACACACTTCGGGAAATCTTGCTTCGGAACACGATATCACATTGACGTTCTGCATGAGTTAAAGTCCAGCGGAGAGATGTTTATCGCATAGTTTGTACCAATAAAAGACTGCTCAGCAATGTCCTGGTTACCTGTCGATATTTTTGTCACTGTCAACGACTTAAAGCTTCCGCTTTCAAAGTTTTAAACCGCGACATAAAAGCAACTAACTTATGTTCCTGGTTTGTTGTTGTGGTGCAGTCACATGCAGTCGACACTTCACTTTGACGTGTCAGACTTCATACTTACGTCACAAGACCGAAATTCTAGACACCAGTTTCATATGACATAATTCGTGGTAACTCGCGTGTCGTAATTTGTTGTAATTGGGATGACGGTTTCCATAAGAACGAATTACGACGAATCATGACAAAATTATGACGAATTACGACGAAATTACAACGAATCATGACGAAATTACGACGAATTACGGCGAAATTACGACAAATCATGACGAAATTACGACGAATCATGACGAAATTACGAGGAATCATGACAACATTACGACGAATCGTGACGAAATTACAACGAATCGTGACGAAATTACGACGAATCATGACAACATTACGACGAATCATGACGAAATTACAACGAATCGTGACGAAATTACGACGAATTACGACGAATCATGACAACATTACGACGAATCATGACGAAATTACAACGAATCGTGACGAAATTACGACGAATTACGACGAAACTACGACGAATCATGACAACATTACGACGAGTCATGACGAAATTACGACGAATTACGACAAAATTACGACGAATCATGACAACATTACGACGAGTCATGACGAAATTACGACGAATTGCGTTATAATATGAAAACCTGACTTAAACCGTTGTACAAAAAACAAACCTCTGTTTCGTATTTTTCGACAGGATTGGTATTTTTATGATCTGAAAAGACCAATTTCTTAGAAAATGCAAAAAATCGCGATATCAAAATTTTCATTGCATATACAATTTGTTTACGACAATAAAGCATTAAAATATTTCATTGTCACATCAAATAAGCGAGAATGCGCTAACTTTTGACGATTTTTCCTTTTAAAAATACGAAATTTTCTGTTTGCTAAAAGGACACGTTAACATCGACTAATTAGTTAATACTGACTTAACTTTTTTAAATTCGCAGAAAATGTTTTTTAAGATTCAAATCCCGTCATCAAGTCGACTATCGGAGATTTTATCAGTGACTACGAGTACGAGATTCGTCATTCTCGCGCGTTTTTTGCTTACGCCATCAGCGAAAAACTCGTAGTCGTCGGGCTTTTGAGTACGAGTTTGTTGGTAAATTTCGTACTCGAAAGCCCGACGACTACGAGTTTTGGCTGATGGCGTAAGCAAAAGCACGGAATTTGGCGCGAAAATAACGAATCTTGTACTCATAGTCGTACTTGTAGCTACAAGTGCTGAAGCTCCCTTATAAGTCTATGTATTATGTTCCGCAGTTCACTTACATTAACATTGAACAAAGCATGGACAGGTTTATGGTCACTCAGTTTCAGCTGGTGACAGCTTGTGTAAGCCATCTGTTGTACAGAGTTGTTCCCAGATGTCCACCAAAGTACACGATCGCACCAGGCAGGGATTCTATCCTTTTCACTGCAATAAAGTGCAAATGTGACAATATTGGGTATGAATGAAGTTAGTTTTGTTTAGTTTAGTTTAATTTTCTTCCTGTAGTAACACTGGATGAATAAGAGATGATCCTTACTGGACCTCTAGGAAGAACAGTTTAGAACTGATAGAACAATACAGTATAAATAAAGTTAGTTTAGTTCAGGTTTCCTCCTGTAGTAACACTGGATCAATAGGAGATGGTCCTTACTGGACCTGTAGGAAGAACAGTTTAGAACTGATAGAGCTATCCAGTATAAATAAAGGTAAAATAGTTCAGAAAGTCATTACCTGTCCCAATTGTCAGTTCCAGGATTGTATTTGTACGTCGGTTGAAAACGGATCCAACCTTCTTTGAACATTTGAAAGCACTTCTCATTTCTCATCTGTTTTATTAACTGAAGAATTAAGCAAGAAATCCAACGTTTAAACAGGGCTTTATTGTGTATTTGTCAACACGTAAATACATTAGTATAAATTATATTAAATTCAGTTTAATTTTGAGATCAGTGGATGACGTTGACTTACCTGATCATGCTCCAGTAAATATTCATATTCCACTTCGTCAATGGATTTTCTGACATCCTCATTCGGTAGATCAATACGATAGTTCAGGTCGCCAAACCAAAACACGACACTGTTTACAAAATATAAATATACACAAACTAAGCGAATAAAAATAACACAAATAAAAATAACACAAATAAAAATATACACAAACTAAGCAAGGATGTATTTCAGAGTGAACGTGCTTTTACGCAACGAGTTGCCCGTTTGAAAAGAAGCAGTTTAACTAGAGGAAGTTTTTAACGTTCACGGGTTCACTTTGCACTGTTTAAAAGCCCTATTTAAAGAGATATGTTTCAAAATGAACAGCGAAGCAACCCTCTCGATAAACATGAAATAAACGAAGGATAAAACGAATTCAATGATTCAATTCTTATGCAGCATAAAAGAGAAGCTACATAGCTTCCTAATGACAACTTTCTTTAGTGCATAACAGCGAGAAACGATCAAATATTTTAAATATGAAAATTTGTGATCGAAATTACAAGTCGCCCGGTTGAAACGAGGGAAATTTGAATATATTATATGAGCTTTGATGCTTTGAAGGAACGTAGGTTTCGAGCAGCAATGTTTAACAAACGAATGCTTGGCAATTTCTACAGCCATTATTACCTAAAATGGATACTGTTAGAAAGCTGAATAACTCGTCTTTCTGGCTATCTTAAAATTAAAACGTTAGACTCCATATTGAATGCATTAAAGCAGGTTCAAGTGGCGATTTTTTTCTGAGCCAAACTGAACATATACAAGAAAACCTTGAGATCAAAAGAAATTCTTCTGGCAAAGGCTTTTCATTTCAAAACAGCGAGATGTTTTGCTTGTATATATCAGAATCCAGACGCGAATCCTTCATCTGATAAAGAGATATCTTAAATGAGAAGCGGTGTTTATAATTAGGAAGTCGCATATTCGACGTTTTGATGTTTGTTGGAAGGCAATATTTGAAAGGAATTTGAGAAAGCATTGTTTTGAAACTATATGTTTCCATGTTCGTTAAAATGCAATGTTTGAAGGAAATTTTAGAAGGTAGTGAAGGTAGGGAATGACACATATAATGTTTTGAAGTCCGCATGAAGGCAATAGGGAGCTTTAGCAGCGACTACGAGTACGAGATTCGTCATTCTCGCGCGTTGTTTGCTTACGCCATCAGTCAAAACTCGTAGTCGCCGGGCTTTTGAGTACGAAATTTGCCAAAAAACTCGTACTCGAAAGCCCGGCAACTACGAGTTTTGACTGATGGCGTAAGCAAACAATGCACGGGAATGACGAATCTCGTACTCGTAGTCGTACTCGTAGTCACTGCTAAAGCTCCCTAATGTTTCAAAAGGAAGCATATTTGAGAGGTGGCATGCTTTGATACTCGTAGTAAAGGAAATGATTAAAGACGTGTAGTACTTTTTAGAGAGGACATACTTGAAGTGAAGGGTATCACGACTTTGATGTAAGAGGGATGTCTTGACAGACGTGATCTTTGATACTTGAGACGGGGAGAGTTGAAAAGGAAGCATGTTTGAGAGTGTTGTATTGTGAGGATATTTAGAGGGCGGAGAAGGGGCCAATATGTAAGAGGTGTTATTTTTGGGGGAGGGTATTCGATAAGGTGGGGGTTATAAGGAATATTTAAATATTTCTGATGGGGGGGGGGGTTGAAGAAGAGCAATATGTAAGAGGTGTTATTTTTTTTTTGGGGGGGGGTATTCGATAGGTGGAGGTTATGAGGAATATTTGAATATTTATGATAGGGTAGTTGGGTGGGGGGAAAATTTCTCCGAGGGTCTTATATTCGAGATGGGATATTGGGGCCGCCTATGCCAGGGGTGGGGGGTGAATTTGCCGTAACCTTTACTTAGAATGTTGTCCAAAAGGCGATTTAGAATGTCTGTACTCACTCGTGGTCCGTGATACTCAGCGAATTTCTAGGAAATGTTAATCTTGCCATGATATCACGATAGTCCTAAATGGATAAAACACAATATAAATACGTTTACCAATCCTTTCTTGACAGAAATTATCAACCTCATTACTCGGAAACACACCACTGACCTATATCCCAGCTGGACTTAGTCCACTGATACATTTATAAGAACTGGATTACGCATTAGGAGAATTTGCAGTCGCATTATATAGCGAAAATTCTTAAAGATGATGTAAAGTCCGTTCTGCGCATATATACCGCGCATAGCAATATTTGTTTACGTTTGTTATATAATCTTCACTTGACGTATGTGCCATTTTAATTTTCTTATTTTCTTCTCGTTCTCGCTCGACCGGCTGTGATGAATATGCTTATTTTATATGATATTTTGACGAAAATACTATTATATTTTGAAGAAGATATGAAGCGAAGCTTGTAAATAAACCGTTATTTAAAACTTTATATATTTGTAACTGTAGGACAAGCGAGAAACCAGCTGATCTGAAATTATGACATCATAAAGCGTCTCGACAAAACAGAGTTATCATGTCCCTGGTGTTATTTGTCCCTATTCCTCCAACTAATAGTATAAAGGGTGAAAAATTCAAATTCTAATTTACAGTTGGGAAAAAATAAACGTATTTTCACATAAATATAATAAAATTACTTGATATATTCGAGTGTCGAAGTCATGTGCAATGAAGGAAATGATAATTCAGTTTTGTCGAAGATCTGGCTTCTGATTGATTGAGCTTTATACCCTGATCAGCTGGAAGTAGCGTCTGTAGCGACGACAAATAGCCTCGCCATTTCGTATCAGTTTGAGTATAGATCAGTGATCAGCGGTCAGCGGTCATACTCACTTGATTCCGTCTCTCCACCTCCTCTTGATGTGCGGCCAAATGAGAGTTCACAAAGCAGACAGTTGTGTTGAACAACCGGAAGCGAACAGCAACGCCACCTTTGTTCCCCTAAAAGTTTTCATTACAAAATGAAGATTGAAAATATTCAAGCCTCGAATTGAGTTTACCTGTTGAACTCTATAAAAACTGGAACGACAACTGAAGGTTTATTACGCTCTTTTTTGAAACTAGAGTAATTAAGGGCATTTAAGGCCATATTGGGGTATGTGACGCACAAACTGTCAAGGTGATATAAAAGTACTCAATTTTTTCAAACCAATCCTAGCTGATTTTTGGAAAGTATTACAGAGCTTTAGCAGTGACTACGAGTACAAGATTTGTCATTTTAGCGCCAAACTCGGTATTTTTGCTTAATGTGTTTATTAGTATGATAAAAGAAGTTAATATCGAAGAGTTGGCCCTCGCTTGGGTACCTAGCCGGGTGTTTGGCACGGGGGTATTTTCCCCGGGCCTTAATATTTATATGGCTTGCCTTGTTGTTTGTCCGCTTATTATCGCTTCGTTCGCCCCGCCTTCCTCCCCTGACCCGTCTGGGGATGGTTTTCATTTATTGTTTTTTAGTTTAGCTTCTCTAGGTTCAGTTGGTTTGCAAAAGACTCCTACGGTATGTATCTAATTATTTAGTATGTATGCATCGTGTGTGTTCTTGTTTTCCTTCCACGGCTTTCACTTCTGTGATTCCGTGTGACAGTGTGATCACGGGATGGAGAGGGTACCGTTTAGGTTCCATATCTGATGGACGTACGCATGATTGAAAATGACAGTAAAGACTATTTAATGGTGCTTAGCACCTTCGCATCGCCGAGCTCGTTCGCTTCGGCGTGCTCGTTCGCTTCGGCGTGCTCGTTCGCTTCGGCGTGCTCGTTCGCTTCGGCGTGCTCGTTCGCTTCGGCATGCTCGTTCGCTTCGGCGTGCTCGTTCGCTTCGGCATGCTCGTTCGCTTCGGCGTGCTCGTTCGCTTCGCCGAGCTCGTTCGCTTCGACGTGCTCGTTCGCATCGCCGAGCTCGTTCGCTTCGGCATGCTCGTTCGCTTCGGCGAGCTCGTTCGCTTCGGCGTGCTCGTTCGCTTCGGCATGCTCGTTCGCTTCGGCGTGCTCGTTCGCATCGCCGAGCTCGTTCGCTTCGGCATGCTCGTTCGCTTCGGCGTGCTCGTTCGCTTCGGCGTGCTCGTTCGCTTCGGCGTGCTCGTTCGCTTCGGCGTGCTCGTTCGCTTCGGCATGCTCGTTCGCTTCGGCGTGCTCGTTCGCTTCGGTGTGCTCGTTCGCTTCGGCATGCTCGTTCGCTTCGGCGTGCTCGTTCGCTTCGCCGAGCTCGTTCGCTTCGGCGTGCTCGTTCGCTTCGGCGTGCTCGTTCGCTTCGGCGTGCTCGTTCGCTTCGCCGTGCTGCCGTCTCCATCCCTACCAATCCGCAGCGGGCATAACTAGTTAGGTAACTATAGTCATAGTATTCATTAAGCCTCGTCTAGCCTCGTTCGGCCTTATCTGAGTACGTTAATGTCATCTGACGAAACTCGTAGTCGTTGGGCTTTTCGATACGAAATTAATCAACAAACTCAGGGGACACGAGTTTTAGCTGATGGCGTAAGCAAACAACACGTTATTAATGACGAATCTTGTACTCGTATTAACTGCTAAAGCCATTTTGTTATCAAAAAGGCCGCTGAAAGCGCTTTTATTTAATATAACTATTCTTTTCTTTAAATATAACATATAGTCTGTTTTGTTCATTAAATATAGCATAATGGCATTTGAAATTAGGTCGAAAGATGGCGGTCTCTCCGGGTAGTGTCGCAGCTCTTCGCAAGAATAATTTTCATATGCTAAACTTTACAATACATTTCTGTTTTAACCAATAGCATAGCTTCGTTTTTTAGAAAGCATAGAAAAGCATTATCCAATTCGACGAAAGCTTCCGAGAGCTTCCGACATGTCCCGTTATTCCAGACACTTAGAGTTTAACTGGTTAAAACTCACCATCATTCCCATGATGCCTGTTCCTACGTCTCTCGTATCGACCTCTTGGATGTAGTTATAATATTCAGCTTTGATAAAAACAACCAAAAGCATTCCAACTAGACGAACAGATTGTACCTGGCAAAATGAAAAAAAAGTTTAGAAAAAAAGGTTTGTGTTCAGATTTGAACTGTCTTCCTAGAAGTCCAGTAAGGATCATCTCTTATTGATCCAGTGTTACTACAGGAGGAAACCTAAACTAAACTAACTTTATTTATACTGGATAGTTCTATCAGTTCTAAACTGTTCTTCCTAGAGGTCCAGTAAGGATCATCTCTCATTGATCCAGTGTTACTACAGGAGGAAACCTAAACTAAACTAACTTTATTTATACTGGATAGTTCTATCAGTTCTAAACTGTTCTTCCTAGAAGTCCAGTAAGGATCATCTCTCATTGATCCAGTGTTACTACAGGAGGAAACTTAAACTAAACTAACTTTATTTCTACTGGATAGCTCTATCAGTTCTAAACTGTTTTTTCTAGAGGTCAAGTAAAGATCATCTCTTATTGATCCAGTGTTACTACAGGAGGAAACCTAAACTAAACTAACTTTATTTATACTGGATAGTTCTATCAGTTCTAAACTGTTCTTCCTAGAGGTCCAGTAAGGATCATCTCTTATTGACTTTGGGTCAGAAAGAGAACCCCACCATAAAATGAACCAGCGTACATGGATCAACTTTATTCAAATAAATACCAAATTCTCACCTTCTCATAATTACCAACTCCATTTACACTTTTACCAACTTTCTCTAGCCACTCGTCCTCGCGTTTCGAATAACGACCCATAAAAGCTTCGGTGCTGAGGTCAAGTTCTTGGAAACCAACAGCTATGACGTCAGGCGCCTCTTCCTCCGTCGTAAACCACGGCTTTAGGTTCCCATAAGGCTCCTGACCGTTTACATTCCAACTACACACGAGAAATCTAGCAAGATAGTTGATATTTAGTAATCCAGTATCAATAAAGTTAGTTTAGTTTAGGTTTCCTCCTGTAGTAACACTGGATCAATAAGAGATGATCTTTACTGGACCTCTAGGAAGAACAATTTAGAACTGATAGAGCTATTCAGTATAAATAAAGTTAGTTTAGTTTAGGTTTCCTCCTGTAGTAACACTGGATCAATAAGAGATGAACCTTACTGGACCTCTAGGAAGAACTGTTTAGAACTGATAGAGCTATTCAGTATAAATAAAGTTAGTTTAGTTTAGATTTCCTCCTGTAGTAACACTGGATCAATAAGAGATGATTATTACTGGATCTCTAGGAAGAAGAGTTTAGAACTGATAGAGTTATCCAGCATAAATAAAGTTAGTTTAGTTTAGGTTTCCTCCTGTAGTAACACTGGATCAATAAGAGATGATCCTTACTGGATCTCTTACTGATCCAGTGTTACTACAGGAAGAAACCTAAACTGAACTGACTTTATTTATACTCGCAAACATCAAAATCCATTCTAATCAAAATGACAGAACAACAACAAACCTCATTTGCTGAATATCAATGAACTCGGCTTCTCGCTCTCCTAGCAACAATTGAACGAACGTTTCTCGTTCAGTTCTGAAGTTCAGCGGTACGTCGGGTAATAAACTACTTGAAGTAAAGGAAGATCTTTCCGGTCGGGAACGATGAACGATTTCGTTTGACGAGAGAACAGTTGAGCCAAGCAATCCCAAGGTGTCTAGCGTATCGATTGAAACAAACAACAAATGATTATGATTAGAAGCTAAAAAAGGCTCTTTGTATAAAAAGGGTATTTAAAATAGCCCTAAACTATTGTTAGTGGTCCATGAGAAGCTCGCGCAGTTTCATTTAACTTACTTAAAAGCATTTTATTTGAAAGTAGAAAAATTTATTGAGCACAATAGGCGTGAAAATTGTCAACATTTCAAATTCAAATTTTCCCGCCAAAACTATGGAGCCCGTAATGTGGGTACCGGCAGCTCAGGAGCCAATCAAAATGCGCCATTTTGCGTAATCTTTAACTTGGACCGGCTTGTTATATGATGACATATGATCTTAATATGAACACTGAATGGAAAAACTTGTTGCTAATGACGTACCAGTGTCCTCATCCGGTGGATTTGAGTCTTTGGCACTGGTATTGCAGGATGGATTGTCGTACGAAAGATGGCTCAGGAATGAAGGCCCGTCTAAGAAAATAATTTGTTAAAAAAGTTACGCACCCCCCATCCTTTGGAAGACCTTACCTAAAACATATAAGGGACGGCATGAACACGTGAAATCAGGCTTTTTTTTGCTACAAAGAGCGTGGTTTGTTACACGTGTAAAAATCATCAGGTTGATGCAAGTTGTTAAAAACAGGAGTGAACAATGTTATGCTGCACCCTGTGTACAGTATTGTTAACAATGTTGTTGAAGCTTGTTGGATCATCAATGTTGTTGCAACTTGTTACAACAACTATAATTTTTGGCACTCGATGCCTATAGGTAAATTCTAGAGGTTTAAAGGGTCTTTATTTCGAGTGGAATTATACACACTTCAAATTCAAGCCAGAAACAGTCGATGGAAAAATGAGTCAAAAGCATTGCACCGGCATCGCAAAAGCGTAGGTTCGATTCCTGCCGGAGAACCGATAGTTGACTCATTTTTCCATCAACTGTTCCTGGCTTGAATTTGAAGTGTGTATAATACCACTCTTGTAACAACAACATTGCATCGTGATTGCATCAACATTGATGATTCAACAAGCTTCAACAACATTGTTAACAATACTGTTCCCAGGGTGCTGCACAGCATTGTCCACCCCTGATCAATTTTGGCCGTGTACGCATTATTCTCAACTTGAACAGCGGATTATGTACCTGTAGACGTGGTGTTTCGAGGCCTAAACATAACCGAAGTGTAGTTTTCGATCCATTTAAACGAATACTCCCCAACAACGCTTGCTCTTTGCTTGTACGCTATTTAAAAACCAAAATACCAAATAAACAATGAATCAGTCTCGTTTAAAATATCCTTAACAATCAACTGGGAACACCCGTTAACCACGTGATCTGAAAATGGCGGGAAAGGACTGGGAATAGTTAGCCAAGAATCCATTTTTTGGTTGAAACAACTTAATATCTTTCGAAACATACTTTATTTCCGTTTCAAATTTGTCAGAGCTATAGTTCTAATATTACCATTCGCGTTCTATGAAGCGTGAATGATTCTACCCGTTTGTTTACATTTTAAATGTAACAAGACGCCTGTTCTGGCGTTAACTCCGGCGCACGTGCCAGTTTTCAATATAGAGCTTCTGAACATAAACAATACAGTTCATATTCGCATTTAGATGCCTTGCGAACCTAAATGTTCGATCGCGAAATTCAGAAGCACATCGTACTTTAAAAAGTATAAAAGTTAAATCGTTCAAGAATGTAAATAAATGGTATAATACATTCGCTTTGTCTTACACTTTGCCTTTGGAATTCGCGCTTATATAGTTATATTAAATCTTCAATCCTGTGCAAACTACGACGAGTCAAAGCGCCCATACACGACCACATCATCTTGTTAAACGGCGAAATAGCAGCGATATTACTAAAATAGGACCAGAATCTACACGTATTAAATATATTCTTACCCCAATTCAGTCTAAACTTAATCGAAAAGCATGAAAAGAACGGTTTATTTGTTCCTCTTGGAGGAATTGCCGTATCATGCGAGCGAAATCGAATCGCGCATCGGAAAATTAGCCAAAGCTGTACACCACAACTCTTGGGAGATAAGACTGGGACATAGATAAATCCAATCACATACACATTTAAATACTAGAATGTTTCGCGCCATTACACACTTGCGACGACGAAAAATAATAAAAAAAAAAATAAAAAAAAAAAAAACAAAAACAAAACAAAACCGAGGCGAATTTTCAACTCCGTCGCTGACGCCGGAGTAATAATAAAAGGGATAATAAAAAAAGCTTGCTAAATGAAATGTTTCAAACTTGAAACAAGCACAATTGATGCTTTTTATTCATCGATATGGCGCTTATAATTCGTACAATGGCGGCGTATTCCTTTGTTTTCAAAATGATTAGTTCTACCCGAATGCATGTTTAGACTAACAAAGAAACGGAAGGCTTCGTTTTGACACGGCTCTGCATACTTTTTATCCGTTTTTCAAGGTTAAAATGCTTAATCTTTTCAGTTTAAACTTGAACAAGTAACCACAAATTCCTACAGATGCTTCGAACGTAAACAAACCCGTGAACCTCGTTCATATACAAGTACTTCGGAACACAAATGGATGTAAATAAACAAAATTTGGACTAGTTTATGTAGTCATAGTATTGTGCTACAGGAGTTAGCGTTCCGGTTTTATTACACATCCCTGGGGTCAGTTGTATCAAGCCCGTTTAGCTTAAACGGTGGATAGGTCAAAATTAAATAACACTCTTACATCTCTCTTGAATGAGTCAACTTGAATATTATGCACTGAATATGTAGTTGTAGCCAGTATCTTTGTTTTAAGGTCAAAAACATTCAGTTTGCTCGTTGAATAAAACGATAGACTTGCTTTCTATTTTGAACTTATCTACCGTTTAAGTTAAACGGGCTTGATACCACCGGCTGCTGGATAAAAAGAGCTCACCGCTTATAGCTTTTTTCAACTCCATAATAAATATCCCGACTTCCTCGCCAGATGCAAATTCAACAACAAGTCGAACACCTTTCTCGGCGATAATCCGAACAGACACCTTCTTTCCTAGAAACGTAATAAAAATACAGATTAACTATATGTAAATATGAGAATAACTTATACTCGCGCTGGTTCATGCAACTGTACTAAATACAAACGGAATTTTCAAACTCAGGGAAAGAATTTTGTTCTAAAAAATTCAGAATTCTAATCGGCAAATACTTGAAATTGTAACGCTCTTGGAACTAAAACGGCGTATCCAATTCATTCTTCTCCCGAATACTTAAGCGGCTACGGCTATATTTTCCCCACAGTTAAACCGAGTAAAATACTAAAGTAGGTGACATCTGGGTGCATTGCAAGATAATGGATTAACAAGAGACACTGACAGATAGTTTTGTTAACTCATTAATTTACTGACAGTACTCTTCCACTGACGAGTAAAATCATCTGTCATTAGACAGAGTAAAATACTAAAGTAGGTCACTTCTGGGTGCATTGCAAGCTAATGGGTTAACAAGAGACACTGACAGATAGTTTTGTAAACTTATTAACTGACAGTACTCTTCCACTGATGAGTAAAATCATCTGATATTAGACAAAGTAAAATACTGAAGTAGGTCACATCTGGATGGATTGCAAGCTAATGCATGAGTTCAAAAGAGAGACTGACAGATAGTTTTGTGAACTTATTAACTGACAGTACTCTTCCACTGATGAGTAAAATCATCTGACATTATAGACAAAGTAAAATACTAAAGTAGGTCACATATGGGTGCATTGCAAGCTAATGGGTTAACAAGAGACACTGACAGATAGTTTTGTTAACTTATTAACTGACAGTACTCTTCCACTGATAAGTAAAATCATCTGACATTAGACAGAGTAAAATACTAAAGTAGGTCACATCTGGCTGGGTACATTGCAAGCTAATGGGTTAACAAGAGGCACTGGCAGATAGTTTTGTTAACTCATTAACTGACAGTACTCTTCCACTGATGAGTAAAATCATCTGGCATTAGACAGAGTAAAATACTAAAGTAGGTCACATTTGGGTGCATTGCAAGCTAATGGGTTAACAAGAGACACTGACAGATAGTTTTGCCAATCACCTCCGTTACGAAAATATATAATCTTGCAACTATCCGAAATTATGCTTTGTCAGTTAAATATCCCGGAGGAAATCAAATATAACTAACGGAAAGACTTCTTTGTCTTTCACCTAAAGCTAAGGATGCATAAAGATATAAAAATAAAGCAATTCTTTGTAATTAATCTTGCATTATAAAGAGAATGGTTTGGCAAACAGTTTAAAAGACGAACTCAACCATTAAGTCTCAATTACTTACATAAATATGACGCTTTGTACAGTGACAAAACTACATATCCGATGCTATGAAAAGTGTCAATTTCATCCAAAATTAGATCCGATTATCACGAAGGAAACTCGGTAATCAGTAATATAAGCGCGAATCCAAATTTTCACGCGAAATGACGAAAAATCCAGTTCGCATTAATTTTTAACTATTTTTTAAGTTAATTGACCCGACTGCGGTTTAGGGCTTGAAATATTAGCGCGATTACATTAATATTTTGTGGTACGGTAATTGTTTAAGTCGACATACTGTAGCATACCCGACCGTTTCTCATGCCAGATGATTTTACTCATCAGTGGAAGAATACCGTGAGTTAATAAGTTAACAAAACTATCTGTCAGAATCTCTTGTTAACCCATTAGCTTGCAATGCACCCAGATGTGTCCTACTTTAGTATTTTACTCTGTCTAATGTTAGATGATTTTACTCATCAGTGGAAGAGTACTGTCAGTTAATAAGTCAACAAAACTATCTGTCAGTGTCTCTTGTTAACCCATTAGCTTACAATGCACCCAGATGTGACCTACTTTAGTATTTTACTCTGTCTAATGTCAGATGATTTTACTCATCAGTGGAAGAGTACTGTCAGTTAATAAGTTAACAAAACTATCTGTCAGTGTCTCTTGTTAACCCATTAGCTTGCAATGCACCCAGATGCACTCGTTTACATCCATCAAAACAAGTGTAAACGGGCCTTGAAATGCCAACAACTATATCGAAACAAGTCTTAAATATAAGTAATTATCATAAGATTACCATAAGCTTGAACCATGTCCCCATCTCGTTCTGAAAAAATAAACAAAAAGCAATTAAGTTCATAAAAATACCCTGCCTAATATATTCAATCGCTTTTTCCAAGATTGTTTTGACAGCTCGTGAATATTCCGTGCTCAAAAGCACGCGGGCGGTCGCTATTGGTATTTTTTTTTGAAATTATTCTTGATGACACAACGGATAAGACGGAAGATAAAATCTTGTACGAAAGTTGACAAAGCTCTCGAGTAAACACTCTTGTTCTCGTTTGATCAAGCAATGATATAGTTGATGATACTTTCGTGTAAACTCTCGCTTGTCAACTCTCATGCAACTCTTGTTCTCGTTTGATGAAGCAATAATAGTTGATGAAACCCTCATGTAAACTCGCTTGTCAACTCTCATGCAACTCTTGTTCTCGTTTGATCAAGCAATGATATAGTTGATGAAACTCTCATGTAAACTCTCGCATGTCAACTCTCATGCAACTCTTGTTCTCGTTTGATGAAGCAATGATAGTTGATGAAACTCTCATGTAAACTCTCGCTTGTCCACTCTCATGCAACTTTTGTTCTCGTTTGATCAAGCAATGATAGTTGATGAAACTCTAATGTAAACTCTCGCTTGTCAACTCTCATGCAACTCTTGTTCTCGTTTGATCAAGCAATGATAGTTGATGAAACTCTCATGCACACTTGTTTTGCTGATCTGAATATAGGAAATTATCCGCCAGTGAACTGCTAACAACTATTAATATATATAATTCATGGTTCTTACCAACGGCAATGCTAAATTCTGTGTTTATCGGTATTGCGAATTCAACACGCAGGTTTAGAGCAAGTGGCGTTTCACCAACATAACTGAATATTATGAGACTATATAGAAAAAGAAACACAAAACATTTAAAAACAATTATTCAATATTTAAAAGACAAACTACGGCAAGCAAATTACTTGTCTTGCGTTAGAATATGATGATATAAACCATGTTTTCGTTGGCATATTATATAATCAGTGTGCGAAATATAAAGTCATTCATAGAATCACCATTTTAAAGGTGATTTCAAGTAGGTAATGTAAACAAACTTTTCTTAAGGCCTGTTTACATGGAGCGAGTTATCCCGGCTTGGCAAAAACTAAGTGAATAAATAAATCGAAGGAACTTAATTAGTTTTCGGCATAGTTTAGTAGTATATGCATTAGTTGACCTAGATGTTAAATAATAAAAAATTAAAAGAATTTAAAATGATTCCGTAGGTGTACCGGGTATAAAAAACGCGTGAGTGGAAAGCAGCCTTAAAGGTCGACACAGTTCGGGCGCGATGCGGCAACGCGACGCGAATTTTGAGTTTTCAGAAGCACATAAATTAATTTCTGGAAGCAAAATCTGGAATCTATGGACGCCAGAGCAGTCGAAATGTATCATCATGAAGTAATCTACAAGAATATTATGATAGTTTAGAATTTATTTGATTTTGGAAAATCAAAAACTTTGAAAAATCGCGCCGCGTTGCCAAATCGCGTCCGGTTTGTGTGGGCCTTCAGCCTTTGATGTGATGCGCTTTTTACTTCGCCTAGCCGGGATAACTTGCTCCATGTAGACAGGCCCTTAAAATATTACGAGCTCATCAGTCAGTGTAGCTATCACAATTATCTTAGACTGGAAAGTTGATAATAAAAACCCGTCTTAATATGAATGGAGATGTCTAACTTTAAACGTAATTGGGTAATGCTAAAGTAGGGCTCGTAAGCTCGTCTGATTAATCTATATCCGTGTAAATTCGAATTTGAGACGAGTGTCTCTCTCAGACGGCATTCCTGTCCAACTTAATTCCCCGTCTGTTTAGACGGGAAAGTTTGACGGGAAAATTTGGAGGAGAAACCAGTGTCTGACTGGTTAAAATTTCCGGTTTCTAAGGGCGCTTTTCATTATACGGTAAAAACGGCCAGACCGGCCCTGTTGAATTTTAGTACAGACGGATTACTGGTAGTTCAGAGTGTTTCAAGAACTCTGCATTCAAGTATATCGTTATTTGTATCTGCCTAGCATGGAAAATTCTGTTTGACCGCTTCATTTCAGAACGATGCTCAATTTCAATTAAAAATATGAGCGATATGACCATTTTGGCCGCTTAACGGAAAGCGACCAAATATGAATTCAACTAATATTGGTCCGCTAATTGCTAAGTCAAATTTCGCGTGCTTTTTACCGGGACGTACAACAGCGGGCATTTTCAACTTTTCTAGTTTCGAATTGAAGTTAATGAGTTCACGGCAACCAGGTATATAATCCATCGTAATTATCGCTGCTCTGGTTTTAATAAATGAAAGTAATCACGACACAAAGATTAACTTTCACGACCCAACGTTTCGACACTCCGGTCAAGTGTCTTCAACCGGAGGTGACCGAGTTTCAACATCAGATCACCCCTGATGAAGACACCAGCCCAGAGTGTCGAAACGTTAGGTCGTGAAAGTTAATCTTTGTGTGGTGATTACTTTCATTTATTAAAACCAGAGTAGCGATAATTACGTTGTCTAGTTTCGATAAAAATCCATCGAATTCCCGTATTTATCCTATCTGTTAGGGATCTCAGTTCAGAAAAGGCAAAATGATCAAACTTCAATTTTTAAGCCATAATGTTCTTAGCACGTTCTAAAGTAAGGATTTATTCTTTAGAATAAAGAATTCTAATTAGAACATTCTAAAAATGAAACAAAATCGTTCCAAATTGTAGCATAGGCGATTGCACGTTCTAAAGCAGCCAAGGATTTATTCTTTAGAATAAAATAATTTAATTAGAACATTCTAAAAATGTAACAAAATCGTTCGAAATTGTAGCAAAGACGATTGCACGTTCTAAAGCAAGGATTTATTCTTTAGAATAAAATATTTTAATTAGAACATTCTAAAAATGTAACAAAATCGTTCGAAATCAGTGTAGCAAAGGCGATGTTCGCTAGAAATATCTCAAAATGTAGCAAGCATGGGGAAAAAAAGGCTTTTAGAACCTTTCGCACAGAAAAGAACTCTTTTCACAGGGAAATCGGTTAAATGTGAACGTCTAGGTTAAGAGAAGATTAACATCTTCACAATTAAACTATGGGCCTCAATGACCGTTTAGGTAAAATTCACTTCAAATTGGCGTTTGATTTCTTACTAAGCGTGTATTGACGTTCTTATGAATGTTTTTATATAAATTCACAGGCAGAATTTATAAAAAACAGCATGTTTCATTGTTAAAATTTGATCTGGAAACAGGCTGTGTCATTACATATGACTCACATTAGCTAGCAAGAAACTGGGAGTCAGCTAGCTGCACCTATTTAGAACACAACTCTCTGATAGTGTTCCAATGTTCATTCATTAGCGATAACAATGCGCCCAAATTTGGCCTATTTTAGTGCTTTACCTAGTTTAATAATGATTACTTCAAGGATATCTCAAGACTTCACTTGCTTAATATTGACAAGGAAACTGGTTGATCATGCACCCATCTATAGGTAACGGGTTCTGGGGTTAACACATACCTTTCCAAGGCCTGCAAGAGGCAGCCTTGGACAAATTTGTTAGTGACGGTCCCACCCTATCAGGTCTCACCCCCATTAACACTGCCCTTTCAATGTGAATACAGGCAATTGAATGGTGACAGCAACCATGTACCTATGCCCCAGGGGTATTTTGCCCCCCACCCCACCTGACTTCCCAATCACCAGCCTTGGACTGTACCTCTCACGTAGAGCCAGATTAATTAAAGCCATAGTCCTTGATATCCCCCCCCTTTTTAATGACATCAATGGAAAGAGATCTTAATTATGATAAAAACATGTTCAAATAGCCACAAATTCTTACCTTGCAGTCCAACTATTCTTGATGATTGCCAATAATCTTTTATCTTTTTCAAGATTCCGCACAATATTCCCTTTGATACACTGAGCACAAGGTTAAGAAAAATTGTTGTGAAGACATAATAGCTTGCGATGCACTCAGATGTGGCTTACTTTAGTATTTTCCTGTGTATCTAATGGCAGATTATTTTACTCATCAGTGGGAGAGTACTGTCAGTTAATAAGTTAACAAAACTATCTGTCAGTGTCTCTTGTTAACCCATTAGCTTGCAATGCACCCAGATGTGACCAACGTTAGTATTCTACTGTGTCTAATGTCAGATTATCTTACTCATCAGTGGAAGAGTAATGTCAGTTAATAAGTTGACAAAACTATCTGTCAGTGTCTCTTGTTAAACCATTAACCTGCAATGCACCCAGAAGTGACCTACTTTAGTATTTTACTCTGTCTAATACCAGATGATTTTACTCATCAGTGGAAGAGTACTGCCAGTTAAAGAGTTAACAAAACTATCTGTCAGTGTCTCTTGTTACCCCATTAGCTTGCAATGCACCCAGATGTGGCCTACTTTAGTATTTTACTCTGTCTAATACCAGATGATTTTACTCATCAGTGGAAGAGTACTGCCAGTTAAAGAGTTATCAAAACTATCTTTCAGTGTCTCTTAATTGTCAACCCATTAGCTTGCAATGCACCCAGATGTGACCTACTTTCGTATTTTACTCTGTCTAGTGTCAGATGATTTTTACTCATCAGTGGAAGAGTACTGGCAGTTAATGAGTTAACAAAACTATCTGTCAGTGTCTCTTGCTAACCTATTAGCTTGCAATGCACCTAGATGTGACTTACTTTAGCATTTTACTCTGTCTAAAACCTGTGAAAGTAAATATGGACAAAGCGGCTTTAATTCTAGTAATCTTATTGTATATCTCAGCTGGTGTGGACAAATCGATCCATCAGCTAATTTATAATAGCTGAGAGTGTACATTTACAGGATAAATCTCAAATATTTTCAATAGAATTGATCTTCAAAAGTAGTATTTTCTCATTCCGATCAAATTATGATAGTCACATCTGGTACAAGCTGTTACATAAGAAAGATTATGTAAATTTGACGGATTTGAAAGGCTCAAAAGCAACGTGTATTCTACCCAAAATGACCAGCCACCGAACAGCGATTCCATTTTGAAAAAGATACATGATTGCACTTTTCTTCGGGCCTTATGAAGGCCTTAACTTCACCAAGATCATCCATCAAAGTAGAATAGCCTGGAGATCTTTACCATTCGATGTTTTTGTGCTTTCAAAGTGACAATCCACAGTGTCTTAGAGTGATATAGAATGCTGTGTTTACATAGTTTTCCGCATCGCCGAAGCGAACCCGAAGTGACTCCGAGGCGAACTCGAAGTGACTCCGAGGCATGGCGAAGAATTCCCACGCACACGTCACGCAAGCATTGCACGCACACAAAGTGAGATTTCAGTTTAAAAGTTGAAGATCTGGGCCGGTTGTTCGAAAGGCGTTTAGCTAAAACGGCGGATAAGTTCAAAAATTGAAAACAAAATGATCTATTTATTGAACAATTGAGCTCAACTATTTCGATGTAAATAGTTTAATTTTCAATGGAAGCGCATATTTAATGCATAAAATACAGGTTCAGTCATTCACAAGATGTCTGAGAGTATTTTTAAACTTTGGCTTATCCACCGTTTAAGCTAAACGCTTTTCGAACAACCGGCCCCAGTGGCGTATCGAAAGTAGAAAGTACAAGTCGCGCGATTTTGAACTCGGGGCACGCGTGGAAAGCCTTGGATAATGGATAAACGGTCCAGTTTATCGTATCCCCTGTGGTTAAAGCGTATAAGAGCAGTTTGATTATTAAAATTTCCCGATCGGTTGTATGCAAGCATTCCAGCACGGTTTTAGGTAACATGAGGTCAGTGCTAGCACGCATTTCAGGTTAGTAAAATTTTAGATCAGCGTTGCATCTAAGCATTCGAGGTAACGTTCGCTATTATTCTATAGATATGAGATCAGTGGGAAGTAGTCATTCCAGATTATTTTCGGTTCAAAAGCAGATATCACAGGTCAGTGGCAAAAAAACGCATTCCAGTTTATAACAGTTGCCAAGATCAGTTCACACATCCTGAGCCTTCTGCCTTGTAAGATCAGTGAAGAGCGTTCTAATTTATTATCAGTCCAAAAACAGGTAGTATTCAGTTATAATCCAGGTCAGTGGCAGGCAAACGCGTTCCTTAAGAATTAAAAAATGAGTCGCGTGCCTTTATGGTGTAATAATGCACGATGGGGGAATGTTGGGAGAATACGAGAGAAGCTTGTAAAACACGAGGCGTAGCCGAGGTCACAGGTCCAAAAACAGCCAACATTCAGTTGTATTCCAGGTCAATGGCAGGAAAACGCGTTCCAGTGTATTAACAGTTACCAGGATCAGAATCCATGTTAGCTCAGTGGCAGGAAAGCGTTCCAGTTTATAAACAGTTGCTAAGATCAGCTCACACGGGCGCCTTCGCCATCCTAAGCCATCTGCTTTGTTAGATCAGTGGCAAGCGTTCCAGTTAATCACCGGTCCAAAAACTGGCAACATTCAGTTGTATTCCAGGTCAGTGGCAGGTAAACGCGTTCCAGTGTATAAACAGTGAGCGAAGATCAGCACACACAGCTCCTCGATCGACCATCTGCCTTGTTAGCGTTGTAATTTATTCAGACAATACGAATCTCCTTAGAGCGACACCGGGCCAAGTTATACAAAAAACACCTGCTCATTACTAAACAATATACACAAGGCAATTGAACGGTCGTAGTTTCTTTAAAATAACATTAAAAAGTAACAAAAACAACTCGGTTAGTTCACTTCCGCTCCGAGGCGATTTGCGACAGTTTTCGCAACATTCTAACGAGGAAATCGAACGCGATTCTTGTCCGGGAAACTTTGGGATAATCGAGCAAATTTCGATATAAATATATTCCCTTTGTTTTGTAAGTGATTAGACCTAATATATTAATAAAGTACAACTATTTCGAAGCAGTGTAAAAAGCTTGAAACGGCCAAAGAAACGGATTTTCCGCAAGGATTCACAAAGTTCTTTTTGGAAATCGAACATCGAAGGTAAGTTTAAAGTGTAGCTAACTTTTTGAGCTCGTTATTCAAGACATTAAAGATTGTTCAGCTGTATTGATGGCAAGATATATTCGATAAATATTATAAACAATATGCCGATAGGAAAACTTCGAACTGACAATTAACCATGTTAACTATTTATAACGATAAAAAACTTTAAATTTCGATGTGGCGTTTACAACAGCAGTATTTTCGTGAGGTAGATTTCAAATAGTCGGCAAATAATTGAGAAAGCCCGTGCAGTATTTTATGAGATTTTCAAGTGCCATGTTTCTGTCAAAGGTTTTGCCTTGAACTTCAACTGTTCAAATTGTTATTTACTTTAAGATTAATAAAACCTTTTTGTATCGTGCTATCTTTTGAATAATATGAACGTAAGAACGTTAATTTGTCACGTTTACACTTTACAGCGAAGCCAAGAGTTGATATAAAAACCCGGCGAACTCATGGAGGGAAGAATGGCCTTCAAGCGGCCTCACGACGGCAATCCGTCTCTAAATTACGACGATCGTTTTCACTACAATATTTACAGACAAACACAACCATTTACGGCAGCCGCTTCGCGTAGAAAGAATTTCGCGGATGATTTGAAAGTTCCCGAAGTCCCGAACGAAAGAAATGGTTCGTCATTTAGCGGAAGGTAAAATAAATAAGTCGATATCCTTATATATAATGCATGTTGTAGAGTTTTCCTTTGGCTTTACGAACGCCGGTTTGGAGTGAGTATAAAGTAAAACAATCCTAGCGATAAAGGTATCGGGCATTTTTTATAGCCTGAATTGGATGAAAATTTAGCCGATTTCCAAATCGGACGAAATATATAATAATATATTATACTTGAAATGCCATGGCTTTGAAAATAAATTAATCTCTTTGGACACATATAATCCTGCATGTCCAACGATAGAGAACGTATTTTCGACGAAAAAATACATGCTTCAAATGCCTCAGAAATAGCGAACTATTGTTGACAAAGTATAGATATCAAGGTTGCAATTGAAAAGGTAAAATTAGAATACAAATATTCTACAACGTATTTTGAGATTGGAAGCGCCTGAATAATTAATAAATCATTGTTTATAGACAGAATTATACATCTAATTGAATAATATTTAACATTGGGGTCGGCACTTTGAAGGAAGATATATTTCATTTCGTGAACGCCTTTCAGTTATAAACTTCCGTGTTAAACATTCAACGCATGTTCGTTAATTCACAGTGTCACTGGGCGAAAACCTCCTTCAAAATCCGCGTGGGCTGTTTTGCCAGCAATTGAAAAATGCTTTTATTTGTGCAATAAAAAATTAATGAACAAAATGATTTTTTTTTAACTTGCCGGTGACATTTTGGCAAAACTTTCAATGTTAAGTAAGATATATTATGCAAGCAATTTTTTTAAATGATTTCCTTGAGATTCGCCTGGCTTTAAGCTGGAAAAAAAAGTGAGCCAATTTGCATGCTGCTGTGGTTTGTGTCTGAACTACCTGAGAAAGATATCTCAAACGTTGTGGTCCAGTGTAGGTAGTATTCTACAATAAGCTGCCGTGGTTTGTCTGAACTACCTGAGAAAGATATCTCAAACGTGCATGGTGGTTCAGTGTAGGTAGTATTCTACAATAAGCTGTCGTGGTTTCTGTCTGAACTACCTGAGAAAGATATCTCAAACGTGGTGGTTCAGTGTAGGTAGTACTCTACAATAAGCTGCCGTGGTTTGTGTCTAACTACCTGAGAAAGATATCTCAAACGTGGTGGTCCAGTGTAGGTAGTATTCTACAATAAGCTGTTGTGGTTTGTGTTTGCATGAACTACCTGAGAAAGATATCTCAAACGTGGTGGTCCAGTGTAGGTAGTATTCTACAATAAGCTGTCGTGGTTTGTGTCTGAACTACCTGAGAAAATATATCTCAAACTTGGTGGTCTAGTGTAGTTAGTATCCAAAAAGATATAATCTGAAATCTTTCTTTCATTTTTAGCCTTGCCGAGGTTTACGAAAAAGCCCTGAACAACGTCCTCAATATTCAACCAAATTTCAAAATGGACGAAGGTCACAGCGACAGGAAAGAAACGACGGAGAAAAAGCCCCTATCGGCATTAGACACTCTCCAGTATCAACCGCCGGGTGGGTGCAAGTTCCCACATAGCGAGACGAACACGCTTCAACGAGTTAGCGACGACAAAAAACTTAATCCGACCAACAAATCCGCATTTCATGTCCCGGAGAAAAGGCGCGTGCCAACCAGCCAATCACGTTACGGAAATTGGTCACATGAACACCCCTTTCCTTATCCGGTAAACTATCCCGGGGAATACTACCCAATCGTTCACCGGCCGCCGTTTTATCCTCAGTACGATAATTTTTACCTCGAAAGGTTGAATTATTATCCTGAGCCGCGAAGGCGGGATTTTCCCATCTTTACGCACGTGTTGCCATGGTTACAATTCGAGAGAGACCATAAACCAATTACGTCATCGCCTACGAAGCCAATGACGTCATCAAGATTTGCGCATTTGCCCGCAGAGGGTAATTTGGGATACAATACGATAAAAGACACTAAGAATGTGACCCAACTTACATTCGGTACCAAGTCGCTGGCACGCGATGACAAGACCGCTGAGCAAAAGCAGAGCGAGAACGCGGGCGCTGAAAATCACGAAGACTTGCGCGTGCGCGGTGGCGAAAAGTGTGCCAAAAGTCCAGACTTTTTGAACGTGAAGACGAGGCGCATGCGTGCGTTTGAGAAAAGGAATGACTTTAACAACACTAGCAGAAAGGGCACCTTTGGCAGCCCAAAAGAGGAGTTCCTTTTTAGTCTGGGTTTGACAAGGGTGGATCACAACGGGTGATCGAGTGTAGATTGTCACAGTACATCGTAGGATATATAAGGGGTTTTGTAGAATCGACCGTTAGGGTTTGAACTATCAGTTATCAGGGGGGTAACTAAACCAAATTATTGCGGCCGGGGGGGGTGGGGTGCATATACAGATATTCATGTTTACATAACATAGGAACAAAAGCTTTTAACAGAAATCAGCCCGGCGTAAGAGAAAATATATGAATATACATCTCAATATTCAAACCTCCAGTTTCCCTCCCGGATTCAGGTAGTCTCTAGCTTTGAGAGAAGCGCATCTATCTATCCACAATGCTTTGCGGGCATTACATGCCAACGCTTTGATTGAAAGCACTGGGGCTAATTACCGGAAGCAACGTACTGTTGGGTTAATCCACGATCGCCATTCCCTTTCAATTCGTCGTTTCTTGCGTGATTGCACAAGGCCGCAGCTAGAAACTTTGTTGGGGTGTGTATATGATTCATATATTCGTCTTATGCCAGACAGATTTCTTTTGTAGGCTATTGTTCCTATGATATGTAAACATGAATATACGAATATACACCGTCCAATTAGGCGTCTAGCTACGACCCTACACGCCGCCTAAAAACGCTCAGGTTGATGCAAGTTGATATAAACAGGATGGAGCAATGTTGTGCTGCCCACATTGTTCAGAGTTGTTATCAATATTGAACAATATTGTTACACCCGATTCAGTTTCAACAATATTGTTCAATATTGATAACAACTCTGAACAGTGTGGGCAGCACAACATTGCTCCATCCTGTTTATATCAACTTGCATCAACCTGAGCGTTTTTACGCGTGTAGATTGCACGTTGTAAAAGGACTTGGTTCTAGTAAAAAAATGCTTGAGTTTAGATTCCTGGTTGCTGGCAGCCACCGTCAATTTTGGTAACGTAGCATTTGGAAGGCGTTTGCATTAATCAATAGAGAGCTGTTTGTTTACGTACGTCATTATGATGCAAAACTCGTATTCCAGGTTATTGAGTGCAGTTCACGGCCCAACGAATCCGAGTTTGGCCAAATGACGTAAGCAAACAACCGCTAATTTTGGCGCGAATATGACGTGTGCTTTGAGTTACTGCTAAATGAAATTAATGGCTAAACTTAGCTAATGTTCTTCTGGGGGCGGTTATATCAAGCCCATTTAGCTTAAACGTTGGTAAGTTCAAAAAAGAAAGTAAGTCTATCGTTTTATACAAGAAGCAAACTAAATGTTTTCACCTTCATACAAAGATACTGTTTACAACTACATATTCAATGCATAATATTCAAGTTGACTCATTCAAGAGAGTTGTAAGAGTGTTGTTTACTTTTGAACTTATCCACCACTTAAGCTAAATGGGCTTGATACAACCGACCCCAGAATGATTCGTTGTTAAACTCATTAATGTATTTATTTGCGATTGCTTATAACTCTCATCCAATAAATTTTACCACAAAGTCAAATATTGTTTTATAAAGTGGATTGTAACTCGTAAAACGAGTTGTTGAATTGTAGGACGATTTTAAGTGAAGGTAGACAACAGTGCTTACGCTTTAGCTCTGCTCATGACAACAAGTGAGGTCCTCTGTCAGGCTCTGATGTAAAACTTGCTCAAATTTCACAACAGTTTTGAATTTTTCTCAAAAGAAACCCAAAGTTCATATGATTTAAAGGCGTAGCGAACCTAATAGTGTTGGATATTCAGACAACACATAATATTTTAAAAAGTATAGAAGTTCAAAATATCAATAAACCGTTCGTTTGCACACGGACTTCAATATACAAATTACCAGACACCATGAAGTCGAAAATTTTAGTTTTAAGACAATGTTTCTCGCCGGGGAAGCAAACTTAGCATGTTTGCAGGCGTTCTTATCTGTCAGAAAACCTGCAGCAAAATGAAGACCTTCCAGATGATATTTTGAACGGGGAAGCGATCATTATCAATACTGCTATTTGCAATCAAACGCGTTCTTATCTGTCAGAAAACCTGCAGCAAAATGAAGACCTTCCAGATGATATTTTGAACGGGGAAGCGATCATTATCAATACTGCTATTTGCAATCAAACGCGTTCTTATCTGTCAGAAAACCTGCAGCAAAATGAAGACCTTCCAGATGATATTTTGAACGGGGAAAACGCGCCGAAGTTTTATCGTTCCTAACGCAGCCAAAGGCAAAAGGAGTTCACACCTACTCAACTTTATGTTTTGATTGAATATGCAGCGATAATTTGAGTGACAGTTTCAACTCATTAGAACTGGCACAGTTAAAAGAATATAGATGATTTGGCGACCACATAAAACTACAATACAACTCATTAACTATGTTGAGGTAGATTTATGCAAAAGATTGTTCCTTTCTCATCACATGTCTATTGAATTTTGCACAGACAAACCAATAGCAATCTTATAATTAACATATTTTTCAAGTCAAGGTTGTGGAGCTTAGCTTAGCAAGACGAATGCCATTGGTAAATTTGGCTAAAATACAATTCACATGTGACGAGAAAGGAACCATTTTTGGCATAAACCCGGGCAATAACATAGTTAATGAGTTGTATTGTACTTTTATTTAGTCTCCAAACATGAGTATGCCATTAACTGTGGAACTGGCTAGTCAAAACATACGCATTTCATTGTTGGCTAATTTTATTCAGGAAACACCCTACTGGCGAAAGTGTGCAGTGAATGTTACAAATGTAAGAATATACAGAATATTACGTTGATAATCACCCGTGAATGGCTCCGTTGACAATAGCCGATCGTAACGCGTCACGCAATCATTTTATTAGGTCAATTGTAACTCATAAAGCGAGTTGTTGAATTATAGGACGATTTCAACTAACCTGCAAGTGGATGAACGTAACGTTTAGTAGAGGATTAGAAGTTAAAGTAACGTTATCGTTGACAGCTAATAAACAACGATAAAAATTCGGCTCACGGCGCGTTTGATAACTTTGATTACAAATAGCAGAATTAGATCGCCATTTTACCGCCGGAACCAAGATGGCGGCAAATTTAAGATATTGTTTTCACCTGAATATTTTGCCGCCAATTTTCTGAACCGTCAAATGCAGCGATAAGGTGATCATAACAAGTCGGTAGTGCGAAAGAATGCAAATTCGTCGGCAGATTTTGGGTTTTAAAGTTTCAAACGCTTTCCGAAGAAAGAATATACGCGACAGAACAGTTGCCGGAAATCAAGGCGGCGAAGGGTCTCCGCCACGAGTCTGGTACCTAGACTGTAAGATGTGAAGATAACTAAGGCCCGTCCTCAAAACGTATTCAGATTTTTTTAAACGCAAAGATTTTTTAATTTTTTTTAAAGCATGCCATTCGCCCGTTCTGACCAGAACACTTAAGCATTTAAAACCCGTTCACACACTGCGATTGTATGTTGCGATTTTCTTCTTTGGTAGATGTGAACGAGTGAATTAGTTACTGATGTTTAAATAAGAGCTCTTATCGATCGGAACATTCGTAACTAATTACTCATTCACATCTGTCAAAAGAGGAAAATCGCAGATAGAATCTCAGCAAAAATCGCAAGTGTAAAAGGGGCCTTTAATGCAGAAAAAAATGAGAGATGTTAACAAACGCGGCTTTGAGTAAAGCCCCGGTCAAGCGAGGATGATTTTTACGAATTTTTGAGTTCTCAAAAGCAACTAAATTTGATCATGTTATGGTATTCTTGATAATTAGTGAAGGATAGCATTTTTTGACATAGCTCTCACACGGGCTCCTTCAAAAATTGAATTTATTCCCTGCAAAAAACGGTGAATTCGCGTCGCGTTAGCAAATCTCGTTCGCTATATGCGGGTCAATTTGAGCGATTGTAACACAGGGATTTTTGACTCCATGATTCATGAAACAGGCGCAAGTAAAACAGCAAAGAAATTTTGGTTTCTCATCATGAGGGGTTCGAGACCAGTGAACTCTAAAAAGACTGGAACGATAACTTGGCCGCCATCTTTGAAGCCAGCACTGATGGCCGCCATGAAGGCCAAGAGTTGAAATTACACCAGCAAAACAACGCCGGTTTTTATACACAAATCCATCTCATCTGATCATGAATAAAAGCTTAAAACAAGCATTGAAACTTAGATTTTACTAAAAAACAAGTTTTATGAACGTGAAAAGGTGCAAACCTATTTTTTTTTCGAGTTGAAGGCGAAGTTTTTTTTCGGCCCGTTCAAATTCTTTAAATATTTCAAGTACAAAGCTGGTACCTCGCCGGTTTTTACAGTAAGATGATGCGGATTACTTAGGTCTATCCAAAAAGGGTAAATTCGTTGTTTGTTTAAAGTTGAAGTGGTCAAATAAAAATTGCATTTTTCTGGCAATTTTTTGCCAAAAAATACGATTTTTACGGAATTCTCACTCTCCCTAGTTCCTTTGAAGGCTTGATTTGCTCGCGCGGCTCCCGCCTTAATCAGCAAATTATATTCAAATCGGCTTCATCCAATGACTAGTTTTTATTGTTGAGTTATCGTTCCAGTCTTATTAAAGTTCACTGTTCGAGACACGCTGCGTTATAGACTGGGCCCGATTGCTGACGTCATCGAATTCAAAAACCTTTTTAAGCCCATTTTCCATTGGGCGAATTTAATCGCGCGAACTACAAGTTCTTCAACGTGATTGGCTAGCGTAAACGCTATTCGCAACGAACTTTTTTGGCTGACCAATCACGACTCCGAATTTCAGATATCGCTTCGCGTCGCGCCAACAAATTCGCCCAGTGGAAAACGGACTTTACCCGTCAACACGTAATCTTTTCGATTGCAAAAAACGGGTTTCACTTTTTACCGCAAGGCAAAAAAAAAACGAATAAAAAACCTCTGTTTTTTAAAATATCCGGACGATTGGACGGGGCTTTATAAAACTAAATACTCAAGTCGCGTGGACTGTTTCATAGCAACTATATATATACAACCTTAGGCTGATCTAACCTAACTACACGATTCTTGTTGAACAAACACGCGTGCATGCTTAGTTTCTTCTTCAGAAATACAATCTTCTTGTCAACAATGCATCATTAATATACATATTCATTGAGGCATTCGAGGCCTCGAGTTTTAAACAATACACTTTAAAAATTGACGATACGTTTCTCCTATCATAAAACTGACAAAAAGAAAGATTTACTCTATCGAAAAAGCCGGCATATTGTCTTTTAACTTCATTGGTTACCTAAATATTTGCCTGTGATCTGTATCATAACAATGCTTGATTTGTTTGCACTTGAATTTTGTAAATTAATTTTTTTCCTGCAAAGATTTGAGCACGTTTTACTTCTAGAGATTGCACGAATGTGCTTTTACTGATAAAGAGTTAAAGTGCACTGTCTTTGGTACCGGTTAAATATGATATTTTGATAGCACGGACCATTTCACACTTGATTTTGATAACTGATAATTTGCGAGGTGTCTGGGTTGCTGTGATTAATTTGACTGACAATTTGCACCGAAATAAACACAGACTATCTCGAATAGGCGGGTGAAATTATACAGCGCAGATATTGTTAAGACTTAGGCGCAATTCTCAATACTATATGCTTCAAATTTAGGTTTGCACACGGCAAAAACCAATCTTCTGAATAATAATAACCTTGTGTTTGCTTCAAGCCACGAAACGGCCGTTTCCCAGCTGTCAGATGTGTTTGATGAGGTGTCAAAAGATTGCCGAATACTTATTCAGAAAAAAAAATTAAACTTTTAAATTTTAAAGTTATTCAAAGTTTTCTCTTTGATAGCGATACAGAAATGCACAATTGTGAACCAATGATTAGATTTTCGCGTTGAAACTACATGAATACCTGAACAGCAATATTTCTGCCTGGTTGTTCGGGGTAGGAGTGTTAACGAAGAACTATGCAGCCATGGGCCATCATATATACAGGAGCAACGGAGAGCAACCCATTCACCCACCTCTCAGAGAAATAAAAACCAGCAATTCTCAAGGTCTGTTAACACGATCTAATTTTGTTGGATGCAATCCACACTCAGTCCCGAATTTATTCTCGGGCAATGAAATCCGTCACACGTAAAATAGATTACATCGCCCGACTCGTCTCCAAGCTATTGTTCTGCGTGCACTCGAGCAAATTCGGAAAGTGTCTATTCACTTCTGATGGATGTTTTATAGTCGGTTGTCTTGTAATGTATGCGAGCAGCAAATCCACTGAAGCCAATGCAGTACTGCTTTATCAATAACCGACTATATTTCATGCGTCAGAAGTGAATTTGATAAAAAAAATTGGATCGTAACCCTCTATATTGACTGTGGGTTATCCATTTGCGAGGCGGAAAAAATCCACGTGCATGCATGAGTTATGCATGCACCAGGCAATTCAAATATCCATTTTCGTCTATTTTGTAATTTGATACATTGTGACAACCGGGGTGCATGATTTAATATCGCACGTTGCATCTTTTTGAAGTTTTGCCAAATTACAGGCAGGTCTGAACGAGCCCGGTTTAAAAGTAACACAGAACTCACAAGTTTCCAGCAAGCTCTTTTCCCTTTGAAAATCACGTGTGGAACTTCGAGTAGATGTTTGCTTGGCTACCTTGAAATGTTGACGAATTACTTATGCAAACGCCCCGTCATTGTGTGAAGATATTGGCGTGCGAATTCGCAACGACAGTGTATTTCCTGCACGTATTCGATCGTGACATATTAAACCACTGATGCAATGTTTATATACGCATAAGCGTAAACGTTAAACAGCATTCATTTCGCGATAAAATGTCTTCTCGGCTAGCTGGCGTTTGGAAATCGATCGTGGAGTGCAAAAGATTCCTAATTTTGGCTCTGACTCCGATCCTGCTATGCCCGCTACCTGTATTGGTGCCCGAAAAAGTAAGTTACCTACATCAAAACTTAATTCCTAGCGTAAACAAGATCACAGTTGTAACCGGCCGGAGTTTCACCGATCCAAAAAGCTCCACATACGGTCTATAAACTACAGGGCGAATTATGTTTTTCTTAGCCATATGTAGTGCGCGAAAAGTATATCAGATATTTTCAAAGTGAATAGTCTATAATATGCAATATTAATACTTTACCGCGGTCGTTATGCTGTCTCTATTGACCCATGTATTCCACCTAATTCAATTGAACCAGAGTATAAACGGTCGTAATCAGACATAATGGTCGATTTGTAGCAAATATCTGAAGATTTATACCGCTCAAATGAGTCTTTGTGTGCTAAGTTTGTAATATTCAAAGTCTTAAAGATCTTTTTTCAAGAGTTCCTGATTCCTGTCAGGTCCGTTTTAACGAACAAAGCAAAATTGCTACAGCAAAATCCCAACCAATATTATCTTGCGTTTTTTTTATTTTATATTCGCTTTGCACCCTAATGCACCTGAATTATCGCTCGTGATGTGCACACGGCGATATTTCTCGCTTGAAAACACGCATAATTTAACAAAACGTATATCTGCAAATGTCATGCTTCGTGTTTAGGGTTTCCATTCATGAAAAATACCAGCGTTAATATAGTGTCTGCCCGCTTTCACAAATCAAAATGGTTGGTAAATAAAAAATATTTTACAGCCGACTGTATCAGCTAGCTTTAAGCAAAATATATATGCGATCCGACTTGTTTGTGATCTGAATAGGCCGATAAAACATTACAACACAGCCTTTTTTCCCAATCGGTTATCTCAGGCAAGGACGTCGCCAATAGCACTGCTTTGCTTGTATTTTAAAGACTGCAAATTAATTGCAAATTCCAATCATGCTCGACCGTAGCGAAATTGTCGATTAACGAAAATAACTAATTATAAACATGCAGAATTAACAATGTTTACATAAGGATGACACACGACATGTATTGTTTTGAAAAGTAATGAGATAAACGGCCATTTTAAAAGAATAAAAACACACTACGCTGTATTCAATGATTAAGAGTTTACTGTGCACTAAATTGAGTATTCACCTTGAGAACCTTGAGTACACTTATATAGGTTTTAACGTCCTGGGAATGAATGAGTGTGATATTATTTTTACCTGTACTTTTTGCCGCCATAAAAGTGATCAAATTAAACATTGGTTTCATGTGTCAACTTAATGATCTTTCGTGGGAATTTGTCGCGTTTAGTGGGAAATGAAAATGCCCAGAATCTAAAACTTACCATTTCAGAGGTCATAAGGGGCACGGTCTATAAAAAACACTTAGCCAATATTCGTCAAACAATAGATGAACCGGAATAGTTCTACAGCAAATGACCTGCATCAAGATTCGGTCAGCCAATGTCGAAGAACACGTTTGGGTGATTTGCGTGAATATTAGTTTATTCCTAAACACAGCGTGTGGCGCCCGGAAGTTTGGTCAACTATCATGGCTTTGATCAAACGAGAACAATAGTTGCATGAAAGTTGACAAGCGAGAGTTTACATCAGAATTTCATCAACTATCATTGCTTGTTCAAACGAGAACAAGAGTTGCATAAGAGTTGACAGGCGAAAGTTTACATGAGAGTTTCATCAACTATCATTGCTTGATCAAACGAGAACAATAGTTGCATGAGAGTTGACAAGCGAGAGTTTACATGAGAGTTTCATCAACTATCATTGCTTGAACAAACGAGAACAAGAGTTGCATGAGAGTTGACAAGCGAGAGTTTACATGAGAGTTTCATCAACTATCATTGCTTGATCAAACGAGAACAATAGTTGCATGAGAGTTGACAAGCGAGAGTTTACATGAGAGTTTCATCAACTATCATTGCTTGAACAAACGAGAACAAGAGTTGCATGAGAGTTGACAAGCGAGAGTTTACATGAGAGTTTCATCAACTATCATTGCTTGATCAAACGAGAACAAGAGTTGCATGAGAGTTGACAAGCGAGAGTTTACATGAGAGTTTCATCAACTATCATTGCTTGAACAAACGAGAACAAGAGTTGCATGAGAGTTGACAAGCGAACATGGGAGTTTCATCAACTGCTATTATTCGATCAAACGAGAACAAGAGTTGCATGAGTGTTGACAAGCGAGAGTAAACATCAACTATCATTGCTTGATCAAACGCGAACAAGACTTGCATAGAGTTGACAAGCGAGAGTTTACACGAGGGTTTCGTCAACTATCATTGCATGATCAAACGAGAATAAGAGTTGCATGAGAGTTGACAAGCGAGAGTTTGCATGAGAGTTTCATCAACTATCATTGCTTGATTAAACGATAACAAGAGTTGCATGAGAGTTGACAAGCGAGAGTTTACATGAGAGTTTCATCAACTATCATTGCTTCATCAAACGAGAACAAGAGTTGCATGAGAGTTGACAAGCGAGAGTTTATATGAGAGTTTCATCAACTATCATTGCTTGATCAAACGAGAACAAGAGTTGCATGAGAGTTGACAAGCGAGAGTTTACATGAGAGTTTCATCAACTATCATTGCTGGATCAAACGAGAACAAGAGTTGCATGAGAGTTGACAAGCGAGAGTTTACATGAGAGTTTCATCAACTATCATTGCTGGATCAAACGAGAACATGAGTTGCATAATGCGAATGAAAACAAAGCTTGTCTCAATATTCACGCACGCGACGGTCATGACGGCTTTTGAAAGAACATTGTGGAACACTTCATTTTTTAATGGGTATTTCCGTAAACAAAGCTCGATAGATGAGCAAGGTTAGCACTCTGAACTGTCGCGAACCGGTTCAAACTATTTTTGAATATTGCTGTCATGGCGGAAACGAAAATCGAACATTGTTGTAACTTCTTAAATTGCAAAGTTTTATCCGGCCAGTTTATGACCATTGCTATTATTATTAATATAATAATAACGGCCTTTTTTAGCCTTGCCGTGCCAATAAATTGATTGTGGTGTAAACCAGGTTTATGTTTAAATATCAAAATCAAACATTGATCTTTATGTTGGCATTTTTTTTGTCCATACAATATTCGTTATTGTAATAAGTTTGGAACAAGCTGTTAAACAATTTGTAGCAAGTCCGATGGCATTGTCAGATTTACTGCAAGATTGTTCGAGTGGCCGATTGTTCGAAAGGCGTTTAGCTTAAACGGTGGATAAGCCAAAGTTTAAAAATACTCTCATAGATCTTGTGAACGACTGAACCTGCATCTTATGCATTTGATATGTATTTTCATTGACAATTAAACAATTTACATCGAAATATTTCAGCTCAGTTGTTCAATAAATTGATAATTTTGTTTTCCATTTTTAACTTATCCACCGTTCAAGCTAAACGCCTTTCGAACAACCCACCCCTAAGTAAGTCGGATACAGCTATGTTGTAACAACGTTGCTACAACGTCTGTCAGAGATATAGCAACGTTCACTGATCGTTGTAGAAGTTTTATCACTTTTAAATATTACTAGTTAGTTGTTATACGTTATATTAATTGTAGTTATTTATATGCCGTGTAATTCAGCTTTTACTGTCAAACGGATTATGAAACCAATTATTATTATCATTATTATTGCTAAAAGCTTAGAAGCACAAAATTGTAGCAATATTGTTAGATCGTGTTTGTTCCAGACGACTTGGAGCATTGTAAGAAGTCTTTCGCTTCGAGTAATTTGTTAGAAAATTTTTAACAATTCATACTTTTCGGCAGCTTTGGACTAGCAGTGCGAAGTGCGAACACAACTTGTTTTATTAGCTTTTGTCAGCGAAGGGTACGTATTCACAATGCAGGAAACACGAGTTCCCCACGTGTCTGGCTAGTGCTTTGTTGATGTGCAATCACAGACACGTTTGTGAGCAGTTTGTAACAAACTTGTCCCTTGAGAAAACTTTAATTCTGACTTAGAATCTTAGAATCTTAGATCGTCGAACGGTTGGCAAAAATTTGATACGATTCAAAACTCTTATGAGACGTATTAAAGTGTCAGATCAGTATGATTCCTTTGTATTCAAATATAGACACATTACTGCTATTTGCATATCAAAAGGACTGGCGTTTAAGAATATTGGTTTATTTTTCATTCGTAAACTAAGAAAAAGCGAGTTTCAGCTATGTCAAGTTTTCAGTTCAACCTGAACAATTTTGTCGATCGAAAATTCAATCGAAAATTTTGCCGTATCGAAAAGTTTGTGAGCCACTATTGTCGTACTGACAACTTGACGGGAAGCTCTCTGATCGACACATCAAAATAAGTTCCTAAACAAAGATGCTAGATTGATACATATACATATGCTTATTAGTTGTAAATTTCGCGAGTTTCTCACTTGGGTATATTTATTTTATCGCAAAAACGCACAGCGAATGAAATTGAATCGTACATAGTTAATTTCAAGTCGTTCTAGGCTTTGTGCATAAAGCCTGCATGGTTTCCATACCACGCCGACGTCGGCAAAGTATTATTAGCCCGTTTACACTACAGTCAATTTATCGGCACGGCACGGCTAAAATGGGTACCCGTGCCCAATTTTATTACTGTTCAGGCTACCAAAACAAAGGCCGTGCACAGATGAAATGGGCACGGGTACCTTTTTTAGCCGTGCCGTGCCAATAAATCGAGTGTAGTGTAAACGGGGCTAATATTATCGGTGATTATCGATGAGTGAAATCTTTTGTCTTTCTGAAATCGTTTTCTCGTTGGATGATTACAGACAATGAGTCTTAAGTTTCAAAACGTTTTCTGGTAAGTTCAGACGTCGAAGTGTTCATGTTTTGAATCGAATCCAACAAAGAAACAAAGACTTTTAAAGTTCCGACGTCTGAAACGGCCTGAATAAATAAGCCAAATACTGTCATTGGCGCACCGTTGATTCTTAACAAAGAAAATAATGGTTGAAGTTCATAATATTTGGCTTATTTATTTAAAAATATATCCCATCTCCGTGAACTGCATGAGATTTTGTTTCACATCGCGGCGCTTAATACTTGGAAATACACCCCGCAAAACGATTCATCGAGGGAGAACTTTGGTGATTTGCCAAACTGCTTTTTAAACCAACGCGTTGCAACGGTTTTGGCACGATTATAACACAGGCAGCCCGGTCACTGCTGTTACGTCATGCTATTATATATGTATATAATTACAATAAGGCTGGCAACTCTCTCGCAAAAAATATAATACATACCATCGCTTAAAACAAAAATACTACGCTAGTTTCTTAAAAAAAAACTAGATACAAAACACCTCGGATATATTGACTATATTTATCTGTCGTTTTTAGACTTGAAAAAAACTCTAAAATGCTCAAATTTTGCGAATTAAAAGTGTATTTTCGTTGAAATTTTGCGAAACAGAGGCGGGATATAGTTTACTCGACAAACGTCATCATCGGAGAATTCGTCGGCAAATTTCTGATTGGCTGTGGCAAGTCCGGAAAATAACGAAGATCTTTTTTCTTAATTGAGCTGATATTCGTAATTTTCCGAACTTGCCACAGCCAATCAGAAATTTGCCGACGAATTCTCCGATGATGACGTTTGTCGAGTAAACTATATCCCGCCTCTGTTTCGCAAAATTTCAACGAAAATACACTTTTAATTCGCAAAATTTGAGAATTTAGAGTTTTTTTCAAGTCTAAAAACGACAGATAAATATAGTCAATATATCCAAGGTGTTTTGTATCTAGTTTTTTTTAAAGAAACTAGCGTAGTATTTTTGTTTTAAGCGATGGTATTAATGTATGTATTATATTTTTTGCGAGAGAGTTGCCAGCCTTATTGTAATTATATACATATATAATAGCATGACGTAACAGCAGTGACCGGGCTGCCTGTGATTATAAGGGTTCTTTGAAGTCAAACAAGGCTATATTTATGTTAATCTACTACCCCTTACATTTCTGGAATAATGGGGAAGCATTTCAGTTCTTACTATTTTGTTTTCATGAAAGTGCATAATAAAGAATGTCGAGAGATTGGACATCTTGCTATTTCGAGAAGAAAATTGCAAAATTACATCCTATTTTCTATCATAATGCGATATTAGATTCACTACAAATTTAGAGCGTCTTTTACACTTAAAATGAAGTGTCAAGGCTTATATTTGAACTATAAAGGATACGATGCCAGCTAGTAATGTTAATTTAACTGAAGGTTTTTGATTGTGATAAATTCGCTGAATTATATTTCTATAAATCATAGTGATACTGTTTAATCAGTTATTACAATATAATTTAAAGTTGGAACTAGAAGAATTTATAATATATGTATTTCCGGTAGAGACATTTGAACGCATGCAAATTAAGATAACAATTCACAGTGTGAATAAATTTAGTTTAGTTCAGGTTTCCTGTAGTAACAGTAGCACTGGATTAATAGGAGGTGATCCCTCCTGGACCTCTAGGAAGAACAGTTTAGAACTGATAGAGCTATCCAGTATAAACAAAGTCAGTGTAGTTAAGTTTCCTCCGGCAGTAACACTGGTTCAATAAGTGATGATCCTTACTGGACCTCTAGGAAGAACAGTTTAGAACTGATAGAGCTATCCAGTATAAATAAAGTTTGTTAGTTTAGATTTCCTCCTGCAGTAACACTAGATCAATAAGAGATTATCCTTACTGGACCTCTAAGAAGAACAGTTTAGAACTGATAGAGCTATCCAGAATAAAAAAGTTATTTTAGTTTAGGTTTCCTCCGGGAGTGACACTAGATCAATAAGAGATGATCCTTACTGGACCTCTAGGAAGAACACTTTAGAACTGATAGAGCTATCCAGTATAAATAAAGTTAGTTTAGTTTAGGTTTCCTCCTGTAGTAACACTGAATCAATAAGAGACGATCCTTTCTGGACCTCTAGGAAGAACAGTTTAGAACTGATAGAGCACACCTGCATTTGAAAATTGAGCGTTTTAACGATATAACTTTCTTTTAGAAAGGGCGTTGTGCATACGCCATTCTCATCATGGCTGTGTATTGGATCACAGAAGTCTGCCCGTTGGCTGTGACATCTTTGCTTCCATTAATCCTTTTCCCACTACTGGGTGTAGTCGAGGCAAAGCAGATCAGTCCACCTTACTTCAGCGATACTAATATTCTATTTATGGGCGGTTTGCTCGTTGCAGTGGCGGTCGAGTACTGGAACCTACATAAAAGGATTGCTCTGTTTGTTTTACTTAAAATTGGCGTCCAGCCTAGGAGGTATGGGCACTAAACATCACAACGTATACTGAATAACAGTCCTAAACTAACTGATCTCCCTAGAGGTGCAGAACAACGATTTATCCAGTGTTATTACAGAAGGGAACTAAAGTAACTTTATTTATACTGGATAGCTCTATCAGTTCGATACTGTTCTTCCTAGAGGTCCAGTAAGGATAATCTCTTATTGATCCAGTGTTACTACAGGAGGAAACCTAAACTAAACTAACTTTATTTATACTCGAGGATAGATCTATCAGTTCTAAACTGCTCTTCCTAGAGGTCCAGTAAGGATAATCTCTTATTAATCCAGTGTTACTACAGAGGAAACCTACACTAAACTAACTTTATTTATACTCGAGGATAGATCTATCAGTTCTAAACTGCTCTTCCTAGAGGTCCAGTAAGGATAATCTCTTATTGATCCAGTGTTACTACAGAGGAAACCTAAACTAAACTAACTTTATTTATACTGGATAGCTCTATCAGTTCTAAACTGTTCTTCCTTCCGTAATTATTTTACATTATTTTAGGTTGCTCTTTGGTTTCATGTCTGTAACGGCGTTCCTATCTATGTGGCTAAGCAACACTGCAACGACCGCTATGATGTTTCCAATCGCTCAAGCAGTCTTAGAAGAATTGCGCCAGGGAACGAAGAATATTACGAAACAAGGCGTCGTTAACAACGGCACGAATTTCGAAATGCACAAATCAGCCAATCAAAAGGACGAAAAAGATCTTGAAGCCAATCACAACGAAGAGAACGGTTGTGTAACCAATCATAAAGAAGAGAAGATAGACTCCTTGGAAAGCGATATAAACAAGTCTGATGAAGGCATTGTAAGGTAAAAAATCTTTATGATACTGCATCGTTCAATTGTAATACTGAATTTGGAATCAAAACAAACTAGCAAGAGAAATATATTGTGTCTCGTCCAAAAGGTTGCTAAAATTCGACACGAATCCCTTTTTTTGGAATGAATTCTTCCATTAATGAACACCAATTTGGTCGGAAGAATAGAAAATAGATTCGAATATACCGGCTAAAAAGAGCATTTTTAGATGAATAAAGATGCAAAATTTAGTTTGCATACAATAGTTTGCATACAATAGATTCCAATACAGGGTGAGTAAAAAAAAACGGACACTTTGAAATTCAAATTAGTCGCATAGCGGCTGTAATGTGACAGAAGTTGTTTAAAATATTTCATAGGTATACGAAGCATATCATATTAATTAACCTAAAACATAAAGTTTGTTCCCATTGGGAGTTAAAATGCATTCTAAGCTCTGTAAATACAAAAGAACGGTCTTATCAAATCGTTTTTGTTGATTGTACATGGGAATTGTCATATTGCAGCCATAAGTTCGCAGCTAATTTGAATTTCAAAGGTGTCCGTTTTTTTTTACTCACCCTGTACAGGGTGTATCAAAAAAAACGCAACCACTTAATATTCATGAATATCCTCTTTGTTCTACAACAAAAGAGACGTTTGGCCCCTGGAATGCGAGAAAGCTTGTAATCATATTCTAGCGGCACAATCGTCGGTAAACAAAGTCGGGTGCGTAAACCAACGAGCTGAATTGAAAGTATTTAACGAGTAAAATTTTATTTACAATTTATTTTACAAGGTCGACAGTTAGCATTCAAGTTATCATGCATGACAATAAAAACTCGTTGTTCGGTTTTTAGCTGCACCATTATTAGTTTGGCTGATTTGACTATTAGCAGTTGAACTGTACGATTAGAAGCCATTTTAAAATCCCAGGGGCATAAAATCTATTGAGCTTATGAACAATATGAATTTTAGAATATTAAGTGGTTGCGTTTTTTTTGAGACACCCTGTATAACAGCTAATAAGAGCATGTTTAAATGAATAAAGATGCAAAATTTAGTTTGCATACAATAGAGTCCAATATAGCAGCTAATAAGAGCATGGTTAAATGAATAAAGATGCAAAATTTAGTTTTGAAATGCTGTGAGCTGAGGAAAACTTGGCCCCGCGAAACTAGCAATTTGTACATGCAGGTGAAACTTGTATTAATCTCATCAGTAATCAAAAGTTTTTCTTTTCATTTTCTAGGGTCGAAATCAACAAGGTAGGTTACAAATGCAACAAATTTTCATCTTAAAGCTCGAATGTTTGCAACAAAACATGATAAAAACATCTCCCACATGCTTGTCGACAACGCCAGCAGTCGAAACGTCGAGAAGTGTTTTGTCTATTTAGGCAAAGTTGTTTGAAGACGCTGCCAGAGTTGTTTGAAGACGCTGCCTAAGTTTTTTGAAGACGCTGCCACGCTGCTCCTTGATTATATTGGAACGAATATATGAATATCCCCCCCCCCCTACTTATCAAGCTGGTGACGCCACTCGCTTATATTATGTACTCTTTGTTTTAACAGGAGGAGAAACTGGACCAACAACATACACAACTTTGCAAGGGGACGTTTCTTAGCATAGCATATGCTGCAAATATTGGTGGCACAGGCACACTCACGGGGACTGGACCGAATTTAATATTAAGTGGCCAGTCAGAAGAGTAAGTTTTGTGTATTGGATATCTCAAAATGATAACTCAAAAACAAGATTGTTAGATTGTTAGCTAAATAAAGTTAGTTTCGTCAAGGCTTCCTCATGGAGTAAAAATGGATCAATGATCCTTACTGGACCTCCTAGAAGAACAGTTAGAACTGATAGAGTTATTCAGTATAAATAAAGTTAGTTTAATTTAGTTTTCCTCCTGTCATAACATTGGATCAATAAGAGATGATCCTTACTGGACCTCCTAGAAGAACAGTTAGAACTGATAGAGTTATTCAGTATAAATAAAGTTAGTTTAATTTAGTTTTCCTCCTGTAGTAACACTGGATCAATAAGAGATGATCCTTACTGGACCTCTAGGAAGAACAGTTTAGAACTGATAGAGCTATCCAGTATAAATAAAGTTAGTTTAGTTTAGGTTTCCTCCTGTAGTAACACTGGATCAATAAGAGATGATTCTACCGGATCTCTACGAAGAACAGTTTAGAACTGATAGAGCTATCCAGTATAAATAAAGTTAGTTTAGCTTAGGTTTCCTCATGTGGTAACACTGGATCAATAAGAGATTATCCTTACTGGACCTCTAGGAAGAACAGTTTAGAACTGATAGAGCTATTTCTCCGCCAAAGTGATCCTAATATCGTGTATTTTTTATGACAGACTATTTCCGGGCAGTGGTGGTATTGGATTTGCTGATTGGTTCATCTACGCTTTCCCAGAAATGCTTCTTCTGCTGTTTGTTGCCTGGATTTGGATACAATGGGTGTATTTAGACACAAGGTTAGTATAATTATTGTCAGTGTCCACACAACCGTCAGTCAAAGTCTATGACGTAAATTATTATGCTGTCTAAATATAACTGTCTTTGTTGGCTGGAGATTTCCTTTTCAGCGGAAAATTTTGGCATAAAAACGCATCCTAAAGTTGTTTTGAAGAAAAATCTGTCGGAAATTTCGGCTTTAAATTTTGGCCCGTTTCAAAACTATATTTGGTCCGGAAGATTCTGGAATACTGTGTCACCAAGGCCAAAGACGGTCTCGTCTTATTGACAATAAGGTTACGCAAGGATCATCCAGTGTTACTACAGGAGGAGACCTAAACTAAACAAACTTTATTTATACTGGATAGTTCTATCAGTTCTAAACTGTTCTTCCCAGAGGTCCAGTAAGGATCATCTCTTATTGATCCAGTGTTACTATAGGAGGAAACTTAAACTAAACTAACTTTATTTATACTAGATAGCTCTATCAGTTCTAAACTGTTCTTCCTAGAGGTCCAGTAAGGATCAGCTCTGATTGATCCAGTGTTACTACAGGAGGAAAACTAAACTAAAGTAAACTAACTTTATTTATACTGGATAGCTCTATCAGTTCTAAACTGTTCTTCCTAGAGGTCCAGTAAGGATCATCTCTTATTGATCCAGTGTTACTACAGAAGGAAACCTAAACTAAACTAACTTTATTTATACTTGATAGCTCTATCAGTTCTAAACTGTTCTTCCTAGAGGTCCAGTAAGGATCATCTCTTATTGATCCAGGGTTACTACAGGAGGAAACCTAAACTAAGCTAACTTTATTTATACTGGATAGCTCTATCAGTTCTAAACTGTTCTTCCTAGAGGTCCAGTAAGGATCATCTCTTATTGATCCAGTGTTACTACAGGAGGAAACCTAAACTAAACTAACTTCATTTATACTGGATAGCTCTATCAGTTCTAAACTGTTCTCTGTCTCTGTAAAACTAATTTTATTTATAAACAATAATAATGATCGATTCTGTACAAAGTCTTTTCTGTTTACAGATTGAGTGATTTAATCAACCTCGTTCGCTGCAGACGAGGTAAAAGGAAAAACAGTGAAGCAATTGAAAAAGCTACGAATGTTATTAGACGACAATACAACGAATTAGGACCAATTTCGTAAGCCACCTCTTTTGATCTTGAACGCATTTTTGTAACGAAGCTCTAGTTTTAACTGAAATTCGCACATTGCAGATTTGCAGAGATAACAGTGCTGATCCATTTCATTATCTTGGCATTATTATGGCTCTTCCGAGATCCGAAGTTTATCGATGGATGGGCCATCATATTTAAAGATGGGTAAGGTCGAATATGATTATGAGAAGCCATGTACTAATATTATTTGCATTAATTAATCAGTTCTAAACGGTTCTTCCTAGAGTTCCAGTTAGGATCATCTCTTATTGATCCAGTGTTATTACAGGAGGAAACCTAAACTAACTTTATTTATACTGGATAACTTTATCAGTTTTAAACTGTTCTTCCTAGAGGTCCAGTAAGGATCATCTCTTATTTATCCAGTGTTACTACAGGAAACCCAAACTAACTTTATCTAATACTGGATAGCTTTATGAGTTCTAAACTGTTCTTCCTAGAGGTCCAGTTAGGATCATCTCTTATTGATCCAGCGTTATTACAGGAGGAAACCTAAACTAAACTAACTTTATTTAAACTGGATAGCTTTATCAGTTCTAAACTGTTCTTCCCAGAGGTCCAGTAAGAATCATCTCTTATTCATCCAGTGTTACTACAGGAGGAAACCTAAATTGAACTAACTTTATTTATACTGGATCGCTCTATAAGTTCTAAACTGTTCTTCCCCAAATATCTATTCAAAGTCTATTTTTTTTTACCCAGATATGTGCGCGATGGGACTGTTGGTATTATTGTCGCGTTCTCTCTGTTCAATTTCCCCTCTCGGAAACCGAAAATATTTTCAAGATTATTTTCAAGGGATAATGAATACGATATCGAAGGTATATGACAATGTTGTTGTGTTTTTAAACGAAACTAAAAATAGCTTAGCTTATATTTGATGCACTGGGCCCGGTTGTATCAAGCCCGTTTAGCTTAAACGGTGGATAAGTCAAAATAAAATAACACTCTTACATCTCTCTTGAATGAGTGAACTTGAATATTATGCACTGAATATGTAGTTGTAAACAGTATCTTTGTATTAAGGTTAAAAACGTTTTGTTTGCTTCTTGAATGAAACGATAGACTTGCTTTCTATTTTGAACTTAACCACTGTTTAAGCTAAACGGGCTTGATACAACCCGCCCCAGATATGTAATTGTGACATGAAAAAGTTTATTTACGTTACATTTAATTCTTGGTAAGAGTGTTTAGTGCGTTTTATAGATAATATAATATACGTAAATATGTGTAATTATATCAAAACACATTAAACATTATCAAAAGGCATATTTTGAGTAAGGTTTAGATAAAAATATCCCAGAGTAGAAGTTTATATATCTTCATTTCAACGATAAAAAGTTACCCGTCTTCTGTAGTGGAACTATAATTTACTGTGTACTTTTGTGGCGAATATATATTTGATGAACAAACGCCTTTAGATTTACGCCTGTAGCCTAAGCTGTAGATTTATACGTCTTACGTGAACTTTGAAGCTAAATTTTCCCCTTTGGGTGTGCAAAAACCTAATATATAGTGAACATGTAACCTCTTCCATAACCCAATGATAAATTCGCAAATCTTTCTTGTTACTTTTATTTGCCGTCGCATAATATTGTTTTGGCGCGAAATTCTGTATCATCGTATTACCTGGATTTAAGGAGAGATTTCTAAGTCAAGTTTAATAGTAAATTTAGTATTATTTTCATAATATAGATCGGTATGGCATCTTAAATCGTTTCTTGTAAACGAATATGAACTAAAGTTTATGTTCGGAAGCTTTGGAAACGACTAAAGTAGCATGGTCGCCAGATTTAACGCCTGAAAAAGCCAGTGTCTTGTTATAAGCTAAGAATTAATTGTTTTCTTTTTCCTCAGAAGAGCCGAGCGATGGTCGTTCATCGACGTTGCTCAACTGGCCTACGGTATCGGAGAAGTTCGCTTGGAATATTGTCCTTTTGCTTGGAGCTGGTTTTGCTATGGCTAAGGCCGCGAAGGTTTGTGGGATACTATCCTCTAGCGAATCTAGACCCCAAACGCCATGTTACATAATTCAGTTTTTATTGCAACTTGCGAACTTAATCAACTTTTGAGAGATGTAAATTTGACAATTACGAAACATTTGTACTTATTTCTATGCATACATATACTTATGCATACATTTCGAAAACTCTCCACTAATTTACATCTCTCTAAAGTAGAATTGGATTGCAATTTGGAAGAGAAATTGCATCTTCTAACACGGCCTTAAAAATGATTCTGCTGCTCTTCATTTCAAATAGTTCTGGCCCAGAACAAGCATTGATCATTCACACATCTTTCCCCCAAAAATTCCTCGTGAACTTATTGTAATTAAGAAATAGAAAACATTTTCTGAGTTTCCATACAGTTATAGAAACACGCGTGGGAGTTTGGGGGAACTCGAAATAATCAGTGGGAAAACGATCCCGTAGGGCAAGTTTTTCCACGTTATTTCGAGTTCTCCTAAACTCTCACAAGTGTTTCTATAACTGTATCGAAACACAGGAAAAAATGTTTTCTATTTCTTTTATAATACAACTCAATAAAAAGATTTTGTACAAATATTATAATTCGATTCAATTACAAATTCTCATTACATCGCTTCGCTTGTCAAGTTCGGCGGGAAAATTCCCGTCTTTCTATACAGTTTTAGAAACACGCTTCTTGACCAATCAGCACGCGCGTACTATAAATGTTACATTATAAACAAATTTATTTCAGGACTCGGGTTTATCGATTTGGCTTGGGCAACAACTGGCTAAATTGGACAGTGTACCAACGTTTGTTATAGTTCTTATTACGGCATCAATGCTGTGCGCTTTTACAGAGGTCACATCAAACACAGCAACCGCGACGATTTTCCTGCCAATTCTCGGAACACTGGTAAGTGATTTGATTTTGTTCAAATGAAAAAAAATTGGGTTGTCTGCAATCTAATCTCTACCATCTAAGTCGGATTACTGCAGCTAGCGTAGCCAGCCTGACGATTTTGTCCCGCTATGTAAATTTTGAGTTATTATAATTATTCATGTCTTTAGAAATCTATTGTTTTCACAGTCAATGAACACCAAAATATTAGCATAGCGGGACAAATCGTCAGGCTGGTTACGCTACCGATTTACTGCTAATCCCTGAGTCCAATCTTAACTATGCAGGCGCCAGTTGTTAAAAGTTAGGTTAGCGCTAGCTCTGGGTTAAATTCACGGGCATTGATCTCCATATATTAACTGAGTGCGATTTTCATGACTTTGGTGCATACGATTTGAAAAGGTGCAAATTTTAAATGAGGTACATTATTTACCATTTTACATGAAGTATTAAAAATTGGAGCATTCTGATTGGATTAGCCCGAAAATGTAAACAATCTTCCGTTTAAAACGAAACTCCTGCTTGTTATCAAACATTAATTACCCATTTATAATTAACAGGCGACAGGTCTTGAGATACACCCGTGGCGTTTGTGGTACCAGCAACCGTAGCTTGCTCTTTCGCATTCATGCTTCCAGTAGCGACACCACCCAATGCAATCGTTTTTGCTTCCGGTTATCTCAAAGTTGCTGATATGGTAAGTTCCCATAATTCACCTGGGGCGGTTGTAGAAAAGCTTGGTAGCGATAGTGGTTTTCGATCGCTCTAAAATTACCCGTAACTTAAAATTGAGGATTCTCTTTGACCCCGTTTACACTAGAGCGAAAGTTTCCGGATTCATCACGAAAGCGGAATGTTTTAGTACCGGATTCATGTTGCTGTTTACACACGCAGCAACGAATCCGATAGAAAATGTACTCGGTTTTAAGCCGTATCCGGAAACTTTGAATCCGTAAAAGTTTGTGGAAACTTCGTATCCAGAAACATTTAAATCCGGAAAATTTTATTGTGTAAACGCTTTGTACGACGAATCCGAAGAAATGCAATATGACGACCAAACAATTCTCCAAGAACAAGTAATGTGAGTGTAAACGGACAAATCCGCATACAGAGTCAACTAAAGTGTAGTGTAAACACCTGACGAATCCGATACATGTGTGTAACAATGAATCCGGATAATTTTACAAATCCGGAAACTTTCGTTCTAGTGTAAACGGGGTCTTTGAAAATTGTTACCTTAACATTTCGAGATTGACAGATTAGTTTGACATTTCCTGTTTCATCTGATACGAATGACGTAAGCGTGTTGTACATTTTATGATCACGTTACACAAATCAAGCGCTCCTATTGGACAATTTGAATGCGAGGTATAACAGTATTATGCATTTTTTAGGCTAAAACAGGCTTGTTTATGAACATCACAAGTGTTGCTGTCTTGATGCTGTGGTTGTATACGTTTGGAACATGGTATTTTGACCTCAATACGTTCCCTACTTGGGCTGTTATCGCTGTTAAAAATTCGACAAAAACTTGTGTGTAAAAAACAGACTTGTAGCGATGCTGCCGTTTTGCAAAGTTGCTACAAGATTGTCACTTGATAAATATATCTTGATTCGCAGCATGGTATAATCGTAAAGAATAGGCTAAACTTGTAAACAAGCTTACAGGTGAAACTATTTTGCAGACTACTTCCTTCTAAAATATTTTTTCCAGAAAATGTCAGCGCGCGGTTTAACGTTAGTCAATCACAACTGCTTATAATTGGATATATTAACGTTTCGAAACGCCCTTAAAATATGTCTACCGATGGATTTCGGTTAAATAGGATTCCTCGGATCTCCAAAACCAAAAGTATGGTTCATCTGATTATTCGAATTTAAGGATGACATCCACTTGCAATGTAAACAAGCGCTTTGTTTAAATTTTAAACTGTTTTTTAGGACGAACTATCTGCTTTTCATTAAAAGCGGATTTCCAATCGCAGAAAAAGATTTCGCAAACGAAATATTTGCATGTTTTGTTTTAAAATTTGCCAGAATAAATGAGTTCAGCTTGACTATTCTCATATATTTTATACAAAAGTTTTACTAGCGAACCATTTCTTTGAAATTTGAAATCCAGCAATTGGTAATTATTCTATCTGTGGGCAAAAAAGCAAGCACAAATTTGGGACATAGGACATGTCGAAGTTTCCTTCATCAAAAAATGGCCGGATGCATCTTAAAAACAAGATTTCAAAAGCTCTTAAACGAGTCTGCTTGTTATAAGGTTAAAAGAAAGATAAATTTCTTTTCTCTAAAAACAGTCTGATATGAACTTTATGTTACACTAATTATGGCGTATTGTGGCACTTGAGCCCGTGGGACTTTTGGTCATTTTCATGATTGTCATGCATGATTATGATTACAACACAATCGACATCATTTTTGCCTAAATATAAACACAGCTATTTTTGAAAAATCACACATGGGGAAAAACTTAATTTTTGAAGTTGTAACGGTGGAATTTTGTAATTCTGGCTCAGAAAAACTTGAAGTATATTTACGATGTAAAACGCTTTACTTGGGAATATATGTAGTGTTTATAATGTAAAAAGTTATGTAAAAATGTCGTGTTTAACTTGTGAAATAAAAGTCATTAAGTCAAATCCAATTGTTGAACTAATTTATTTAAACATTTAGTTGAGACTTCAAGAATTATAATATGAATATTAAACTATTCAAATGTTTAAAAAATATTTTAGTTGAGATGTGTCATAAGTGATGAATAATATCACAGTTAATAGATTATACATGTTTTGGAGACCACATAAAACTACAATACAACTCAATTATGTTGAGGTAGATTTATGCAAAAATTGTTCCTTTCTCATCACATTTCTATTGTATTTTGCACAGATAAACCAATAGCAATCTTATAATTAACATATTTTTCAAGTTAAGGTTGAGGAGCTTAGCAAGACGAATGCCATTGGTAAGTTTGACTAAAATACAATAGACACGTGAAGAGAAAGGAACCATTTTTTGCATAAACCTGGGCAGTAACATAGTTAATGAGTTGTACTGTACTTTTATTTAGTCTCCAAACCATGTATATACAAGATTGATTTCTCGTTATTTTGTAAAGTTATTGACGAAATAGCCTTCTTCCACGCTAAACTAGGGTTAAATTTAAAAATACTGTTTTTGTATAATTTCTGTATGATAATATCAGTTTAACATCAAACCCTTATTTCCACAGAAGTTCGACTTCTGTAGAAACTTACTCGGTTTAGAGAAAAATGCATAAAAAATTTACTGTTAAATTATGATGATAGTTAAAGGAAGTCAGTGCCTGAATTGTGCAATCAACATCTTTTATTTTTAGCTAAGGGTTTTGCCAACTGGTTTCTTAGCGACCAGAAAAATTAATTGTTAATAGTCGTCAACAACATGTTTTTAACGTGGGGTCTAAAAGTGCGCATGTTTAATAGACCATTACAGATTGCATGCCAATTAAAAGCCTCTTTAGACAACACGAGAAATTCTATGCAATTATCAAGAGAAAATCGAGAAAATATTTACAGAAAAAGATTTTTACTTTAAGATTTTTACGTCAACTTTGTAAACAAGCGATTAAAAAAATGATGCGAAGATTTGCTTTAACCAAGAGCAGCCGGCTTTTAAACAACCGGCCCCAGGGCTCTGTGCAATGAACTAGATTGAAGGACAATTCTACACTGTCAAACATTTAAGAGGAAAAAATATACCTTCCCATAATATATACCTTCCTATAGTTTGTCCTATTGAGCTACCTTAATAGAAGCTTACTTGCTCTTATTGGAGATCAAACCTTTCGTCCTCAGGTGTTTTGTCTCTTCTGCCTCGGAGAGTGTAACTATTCCACACCAGTATTTGTAAAATGGCGATGATTGCTGGCAGGAAACACATCACGTTGAACATCACGCTTTTAAGATCTGCAGACGACGATAATGAACCTTTAGAAATACAAAACTATCCGTCAGTGTCTCTTGTTAACCCATTAGCTTGCAATGCACCCAGATGTGACTTACTTAAGTATTTTACTCTGTCTAATGTCAGATCATTTTACTCATCAGTGGAAGAGTACTGTCAGTTAATAAGTTAACAAAACTATCTGTCAGTGTCTCTTGTTAACCCATTAGCTTGCAATGTACCCAGATGTGACCTACTTTAGTATTCTACTCTGTCTAATGTCAGATGATTTTACTCATCAGTGGAAGAGTACTGTCAGTAAATGAATATGAGATTCGATATCTTTTCTAACACATACCTGGACTAGTAGTTGGTTTCATCGTGTGGCTTTTGTCCTATGTGACAAAAATCACACATTTTAGAGAAATATTTTAGGTGTAGTTGCTACATCCAGTGTATACTGAAAACATCGGCAATATTTGAGAATAGCATAAACTTTATTTACTACGAGTTTCGTGAAGTTCCGTCGTGTTCCGACGGGGGACGGAATGGGACGAAATGACCAAAACATTGCTTACGTCATAACCGTAGCTTGATAAGATGGCAACAATCAACATTGGCGCGAACGACTGTGCTGGTTTTGTAAACAAAGCATTCGTACCAAATACAAGCGATGAAATTGGCGAACTAAATACAAAGAAAGTATAGAATTAGGCAAAATAACCTTACAATTTTCGTTCGTCAAAACTTAGAACAAGGGGAATTTCAATTTAATGGTCACTGACTGCAATATGAAATTGGACCAAATACTTAACTTGTGCTTGTCTTAATGAAATATTATGCATAAATATTTAGTTTTAGTTTTATAAAATGTTAGTCGATCGTCTCAAAAGTAGTAATATGTGTTTTAAACCAATTTAATAAACAAATTAAAAAAATAACTGACCATTCTATGGTTGGCGCGTCAGTGAGATCCTTTAACAAAACTTTAGGTGAAAAAGTGATTAATCGTGATGATTTAGATGGCCCGAAATTGCTCATCCAGTTAAATATTACTGTCGAAGACGCAGAATATAGCGTTATATAACAAATATTAGCATGAAATAGTTTTGTAACAACAGTGCAATTTTAGTTGGTAGTCCCTAAATGTAACAATTTTGTGCATTTTAAATTAAAACATTTGTTTCCAAACAAACCATTTCTATAATTACAAGTTTATTTCCAAGCAAACGATTTTGTTCTGAAAGTCATTTCTATTGCGTTGAGAACGAGTCAAAATGAGCAGGAACATACATATAATAAATTTGGCGAAATTATTAAAGCGAATAGAAAGTCAAGAAACGCGGAAGTTAAACGACTGTCAGCCGATCTAGTCAAAGACGATATTTTTATTTTAGATGTTGATGGACAAAAATTTAAAACCAGAAAATCAACTTTCTGTCAGGTTGAAGGTTCCTTGTTCGCTACAATGTTTAGCGGTCGCTGGGAAGATAGTGTCGAGCGTGATCAAGATGACGCTGTATTCTTTGATTTTAATCTACAATATTTTGCTTATATTTTGGATTATTTAAAAGCGATGAAAATTGCGACTCCAGAGAATCCTCAAATACTGCCAAAGTTAAAAGTCCATGAAGACAATCTCGAAGATTTCTACAGTTTGGTCGAGTATCTTGGCTTGAGTGATGAAATATTTTTAACTGAGATTGTGCCTGACGAGAAATTCAACTTGCACAGCCCAGGAGTCACTCTTGAGGAAGACGGGAAAGTCGCAGTTCATGATGGAACACGGGAACACAAATATGTTCTTGGTGAAAATATCTATCAACAAGGAATTGTGAATCTTAAGTTGAAGTTGGAGTCGTTTAAAGGCACTTATTGGATGTTCATTGGAATAATTGAAGCAGGAATAAATAAAGAAGTACCTGATGACTGTTCATTTGAATGGTCTGGTTCATATGGCTGGACTCTGGGTTCTAATGGCGGTCAAGGAGCGTGGAGAGAAGGTTCAGTTAGAAGAAACAAACGTTTAGAAAATCGTACTAAAGAAGGTGACGAGGTTTCGCTAATCATAGATTTTGATGCAGCCAAACTGTCGCTACATTTGAGCACTAGACCGGGAGCCCAGAGGGTCGAGCCTAGCTGGAAAGCAAACCAATTTTAATGCACATAGTGATGTTCTACATGCGTACGACTATACGAAAATGAACGTCTGCCGGGGATAGGATGGTGGGCGTGGTTAGGATGGGCACGTGAAAGATGCGAGAAAATCAGCTAGATCAGCTGTGAGATAACCAAATAAAATATTTGCCAAAATGTTCAGCATAACTCTTGTAGTTACTAATGTCCACTGCCAGACATATTGGGTGGTGGGTTGGCCCCGCCAGACAGCCTCGAAGGCCTACTCCCGAAATTTTTCTAGATCAGCTGTGAGATAACCAAATAAAATATTTTGCATGATGTTCGGTATAACTCCATTAGTTCCAAATTGCCACTGCCAGACATTTCGAGTGGTGGATTGACCACGCCAGACAGCCTCGAATTCCCTCACCTCTAGAAAATTGTTCATGATCATCTATTTCTAGATAATCAGCAAATTATATACTTGGAAATATATATATATATATATATATATATATATATATATATATATATATATATATATATATATATATATATATATATATATATATATATATATAATAGTTACCAAAGACTATTGTCAGACATTTCTGGTGGTGAATTGTTTTTAACCCAAAAATTTGAATATAACTCATCACAGTTAATAGAAATGAACTTATTTAAGCCTAGACTGTACACAATCGGCCTGAAAAGCAACAGTACAAAATATTTGCAGTCCATTTCTGTCCGACATTACCAATTGTAATCTACACTGCGTCCAAGAATTATATGCAAAATAGTTTTTCCGCTACATTTCATTTGGTTTTTAAAAGAGGATTATGAAATTTCGTATATATTATGAAAACACTGTAACATGCCCACAACTGAAGCTTTTGGCTGATCTGAGCAGTGGTAAACAAACAGCGGCCATTTATGCTTTAAATGGAGATCTTGGGCGTCCATTTTTATATGCATATTACACTTATACTGCTATTTAGCGAATTGATACAATGGAAAAATTTATAAAATGAGACAATATCGTCTATCTAGGTAATTTTAATCAATATATTCTCACACACATTTGATAAATAATAAATTATATAATGATATACCAAAAAAGAAGATTAATATTATTCATTAATGTTTAATGTATCATCCATGATTTGATTTGACTAAAAGTAGCCTTCGATCCATCAATGCGATCAGTTTCCTGTTGCATCAGGTGAAATACCTCTAGCAGTAGTTTTAATTGCATTCCAAAGATCTTCTGTTGACGAGTACTGTCTTCCACCGGCATATACCTCTCTT